ATAATTTATGTGCCACAATGAGAGCAAAAGATGCAATAGGCTACTCGATGAATGCCTCACCTTTCTTTTATACACCTTATGCCAAGCAATGCATGTTAGAGAGTGTTTGTGTGTGCGTGTGTGAAAACCAAAACAAAACACGCAGAAAACATTGCAAGACAGAGAGGAAGAGAGCGAATATTGTTTTTGTAGTTTCTTTTGATTTTGCTGTTAGCGAGCCCTGCAACATGTTGCATGTGTTTTTTTCCCGTAAATATCTAGCCGTAACGGTAAAAGCAAACGCAGCACAGCACTCTTTGGAAGAGTAAAAGCCGGAGAGCGGAAACAAAAACACAAACACACACACACACACACACACACACAAATTCAGCGACATGGGACGCTATCAAGGGGGTTGCTTTAAATTACTTGTAAATAATATTATAAACACTACATAAACAATCAATTGAGTAACTTTTTATCCAAGCTGTTTCGAGCACAGTTCAACACACAAGCCACTCTTTATTTAATTCTTTGTTTAAACATGTTCACAGTGGAAGCACTTTTTAGTTTACTTGTTGTACCGAAAGTCCGAAAAAATTAAGAACCCGAAATGTATAAACAATGGATAATACATTTATTTAATTTTGGCGGAATTTTCGGAATTCAGAAGAAAATTCGGCACAGTTTTGTTGTTTCATTGATCGCGGCAGAAAAATTTGTGAGACCATTTTTGCATTTTTCTTGCTGCAATGTGCCCATTTTTACTATTCATGTTGCTGGAAACAATGTTGCCGGCAATCTAAAGAAAGGTAAGGCAAAACGGACCAGAACACACAACGAACGCATGCCAGATAAAACCCACCCCAATACTTAGCGTACTGCGATTGTTGATCAAACACGGTGAGGTGAGGTTTATAGGAGCCTCGGAATGTTGCTGGACTGATTTGCCACACGGTCCATACCTTTCTAAAGCCAGTGAAACATATTTAGAGGGAATTTAAGAGGGCATTTTTTCAAATAGTGAAAAATTTTTAAATTTCCCAAAATGCACATACAAACTTATTCTTCTGAAGTCATGTAAATGTTTCCGTTTGCGGTTTATAAAACCGATGAAAAATAGATTTATCTGTTACGATATTTACATATCGATATATTAGGTTTTTTTTGGTGCATTTTTAAGCCGCGGAAAGATCGTACTTGACAGGAAAAATTAGTTTATATACACTCTACACTAGTATAAGTCTTCAGTATCTTCAGATTCATATTGAAACGATTTACATGCTTTTCTCAAACTGATTACTGAACTGAGTTGATCCACCATACATATATCATCTAGAGAACAAAAACCTCTGAACTGTGGCACAGTGGCGCCACCATGGCGCATTTGTATTATACATTACAAGGCAACTAACTACATGTAACTAATGATGTCTAATGATGCAGTGTGCCCAATTCACTATTTTATGGCTTGGACTATTTGATTGTGCGCGCCATCCATGTTGTACATCCCGTTGGGCAGGATATCGCCTCTAGTGGTTCCATTACCTTTGCCTCTTCCGCCGCTCTTCCGCTCATTCTTGAAGCAATTTCTTGAGGAAGCTATGAGGATAGAGCCATAGTCCAGGCTTAGGACACTTTATTTATCTTACTGTCGTCTTGTGGTCCTCTTTTACAGAGGTAACTCCGCTGGGAGTCTGGGGCAATGCAGCAAACAGCATGCAACAAGTACAAATCGCATTAGTTTGCGTCTCGTAGCATTGGGCAATGGACAAATGGATATGCGCAATCCAAAGCCACGAAACTCCCAAAAGGGAGACAAATATTTATTAGATTTATTAAATATTATTATGCGCAATTACAAGCGTTTTCCGTTTGGGGGAACGGGTTTCTGGGCCCGAGTGGCACGACAACCGACCTTGAACGCCGCCGCCACCCATTGGGACAGCCGAAGCCATAGCCAAAAGAGAAAACTGCTTACACCCACTGCTTTGGCTAAAACAAACGTTAGCATTGTGCCGAGCGGGGGGGTGAGCCCGAGCCCGAGCCCCAACCAGGGGGTTATGTCACTGTTGTGGCCTATTTGGTGGAGTGCCACAAATGGCACAATTCCGCATCCCCGCTGGAGCCCATAATTTGTACATTAAACACATTAAACTATGGCCCACTCGAATGGGCCAATGCCTCCAGCGATTTGTGGCACGTTGCACGGCATGCAACATCCCATCGAATCACAGTGGATGGGGGCGGTGGGGGGGCGTTGACAATGAAAACGCGAATGTGTGTCATTGATTCCGTGACTTTGGACAGTAATTATCGATTGTCGCTTTGCCTCTTGCCATGAACTCAAGATCTCTTCGCCCCAAACAGATGTACGCTTGAGATGCACGCGGGTGTGTGGTGTGTGGTGTGTGGCATGTGGGTTTTTCCTGCAGCAATTTGTTCGGAAATTGTTGGTTTCCCTAAGCACTCGAATTAGTGCGAGCGAAAACATGACTTCCTCTTTGAATTTGTGTGTTTTGTGTGGGGGCCCAGGGAGGACAGTGCGGCTTACTAGTCAACGACTAGCGATTAGCCAGAGTAAGAGCAGCAGCAGCAGCAACGGACAGCCACATGCAACTACTACACTGAGAGAAAAATACATAGATAGATACATATGTACATGTTTTCTTCGATCGAGGCCAGGAATGCAGCAGTCAGAGTAAAATTTCTTTGAATTTGAACGCCTGAAAAGGGGACATTCCTTGTCCAAAAAACCATAGAATCAGCACTTTCGGATGAGCGTAAGGAATTATGTTAAATTATACGAAACTTTTGCCTTGTAACCTTTGGTCGAATGATGTTTAGAGCTTTTTTCTCTGTGCAGCTGGAGCGACAAAAACTTGTTGCCTTTTGCCTGGCGCTCGGCTCTTCTTCTTTTCACTTTCGTTTTCAATACGCGTCTCTCACTGTCTCTGTCTCTCTGTGGCTCTATGTCGCCGTCTCTTCGTCTCTCTGCCTCTCTGTTTCTCTCTTTGGTGGTGCCTATTACTCAATAGCCGCTCGACGGAGCCCCAGCCCCAGTGTTGATGGCATTTTGATTTTGAATTTGTCAGCCAACTGTTTATTAAGTGTTTTGACTCGAAGGCAAACTGTTCGCAAACGGCTGGCTGCTGGCTGCACCAAAAAATCACCAAAGGTGTAAAAATATATACGTACATATATATAAAAAAAAAGACACTCACTGAGAGAGTGAGAGCAGCGGCATGTATGCGTACAGGTGGTGAAAATTGTAAACTTACGGGTAATTCAATTTACTGTGCCACTCCGATCCACTTCAGGGCAGGCCCGGGCTATGCAAACGAGACGCGATTATTCAATCAAAAACTCGCGCCGCTACGTGAATTAAGTGAAACACAATTGCAGAAATCGGTGACAGCAAAAACAACCAAAAACCAAAACAAAACCAACAACGAAAGTACACATTGCAAAATGCGCCTCCGCCTGCCCCTGCCCCTGCCCCAGTCCCCCTGGCTGCCCCTGTTGCCCCTTCTGCTGCTGGTGCTCGAGAGTGTGGCGGCCGCCCAAAGCAGCTACAACTCCGTCTACAATGAAGTGATTCCGCCGGAGCTGAAGCAGGCCATCGACAAGGAGCTGCCAAAGCAGGCCAAGTTCTTCGATGAGCTGGATCGTAAGTAGTTCCCCCATCGTCACCGTCAACTCAAATCGGGTTCGTTGCCTAAGTCTTTCGTCTTGCACAATTTGCATATTGGTTAACACGCGACGCGATGGGGCCTGGCCCGGGGTAACCTTGATCTTCGGCTGCTCCGCTTACCACATCCACCTCCGCTATCGATACCATGTCAAGTTCGGACGCTGACTCAGCGATGGACCAAGGGTCCCGTCCCAGCGAAAGTCCACATTCCACGTTCTTGGCGGTGGGGCACCCCATTGGCCATTATTCATCGCGCTTAATTGGACTTTCCAAAAGACAGACCCGACAACCAATTAGCCGCCACAGAGCTGGAAATGATTACACATTAACATATGTATGTACAAAACATAAAACACACACTTTGAGACACATCCGAGCCGAGCCAAAGAAAGAAAGCAAGAAAGCCCCGCTTTTTCGGAAAATTGTGAATGGCCATCACGGTAAAATATTATAAATAACAATTGCGCACAGAGCACCATATAAAATACATATATAAAGATACATACATATATATACAAAGACAGATAAAAGATACCTGAATGCTGCACAAGTTCAATGGCAGCTGAAGCAGATCGGAGCAGATCGGATCGGATCGACTCGGATATGTAATATGAGCAAAAGCAAAAGTGTTTCCAGATATGTGTATGTGTGTATGTATGTACTCGTACCACAGAGACAGGAAAATCAACTGCAATTAACTTCAATTGCACACTCGTCGCATTCGCGGCATTCGAAAGTGTTGCCCAGCATGAGTCGGCCAGTTTCCCAAAGACCAAAGATTATAGATTATTTTGGCTGACTTTTATGTAAGCGAAAACCTTGGCCACAGCCAAAAGCCAAGCAACATGTTGTTAGCTCCAAAAAGAAATAAAAATGTTGCACCGCTGATCCACTCTCTCTTTCCCACTTGCACTGCCAGAGCCCCGATTGACGAGTGAAATGCCGAAATGTTGGTGGCTCTGTTCGGCTTCTGGTTGGACTTCGGCTCGGCAGCAGCTGGCAGCTGGCATCTGGCAGCAGCCTCGTGCTTTAACAGCCGCAAAAGCTTGGCTTAGTTCTGAGTTGATTTTCCCGACGCGCGGTCGCCTTTTGTTTGCTGGATTAACAGAGTGGAGCGGAGCGGACTGTGTGTGTGTGTGTGTGTGTGTGCGCATGCGTAAAGCCCAGAGCAAGACGGTTTCGGTGGAAAAGCAAAGTCTGCGGCGCACCGAGAGTTTTCTTTTTTCGTGCGCCGTCGTTGCGCATGCGTGGGCCGCAAGAAAGCGCCAGCTAAATGAAAACAAAAGTGAAATCCTTAGCCACCGTAATAGCAGCCTAGTGGCAGGACCACCGCTCCAGTGACAGCTCCAGATCAAGAAAAAGCGAAAGTGCAAGAGCAAGAGTACAAGTGTTGGCCGAGAGAGAGAGAAAGTCCGCGTCGATCCTCCATCCATTCCATTCCACTGCCATGTCACTGCCCAGACACTCGAAGGACACCTGGCTGCGGCTCCTCGTGGTCGGCGTGGTCTGCGCGGGCTGTGCCCTGGCCGGGGTCTCCGGCCTCGGCTATCCGAGTGCCCAGCAGGAGCACGACATGCTCATCCTGGACGCCCTCTCCCGCCGCAGCGGCACCGGATACTATGGCGAGAACAGCGTAATGGAGATGCTATCCCGAAGTACTTAGCCAAAGACAACTTGATTTGATTTGATTTGACTTGACATACGAGTAGAGCCTCGCCTGAGACTTCCTCCTGTCCAGAGACTAATTTTCTTCTCTCTTTCCTCCCAACCTCCCAACGTCTCTGTAGTGATACCGCAATCGTGCCGCTTTCGTGGCCACAAGTTCGAGTGCGGCCTGTCCATCTCATGTGTCTTGGGCGGCGGCAAGCCCCTGGATCTGTGCTCTGGCGGCATGATCTGGTCATGTTGCGTCGACAAAGATCTCGATGCCGAGGAGAGTCCGCATGCCGCTCCAGTAAACAATACGAGTAAGTACTGCTACACCAACTCCCCCTCCCCCTCCCCCATACCCTTCCCCGCAGGCTTCCTTCCCAAGCAGGGCAAACAGTTTATTCTGGAAGACATTCCGCCTCCTGCTTTCCCCACCCGCGCCGCCATTGGCCGATTGCAAATTGCTGCGCTTCGAGTTATGCAATTCGGATTCGTATAATAGCGCTATAAATTAGCTTGCATTTCGAAAATGACAACAAATTGCTCTCCGCGCACACACAGACACACAAGAAGCAAGGCAAACAGATCACACAGATACTCCAAGTATTCGCCCATGGGCAGGCACACACACAAAAGCCGAAGAAGTGATCTCTAAGTGGAAGGTGTTAAAGTTAGATCATCTCAGAAAAGCCTCCATTAAGATGGGAATTTCGGGAAATTACATACATTTCTTGGGGTTGGGATATATTAAGATATGGAACGGAAATACTTATGAAAACAAATTTATATAGAAGAAAATCCTTTTTATAAGAAAATTAATACAAAAAGCAGCGATTTTTGCGATTAACAGATTAGTGCCAAAAATTAACTGATATAAGAAACGATAATTAAATAAACGAAGCACATATCACACATTAAAATCAAGATAAATCCAATAAACCAGTTATATCCAAAAAATATATATCGTATACAAATATTAAGAGTACTTTTTGGAACCGCTAGATTCTGATCCTAGCTCCAATAACAATCACATTCACATTCCTCAAACCGAATTTTGGTGAATAATCGCTGCTTTATGGATCAGTTGGTGCATCCATCGTCAAGTGCATTGGTTACTTGTATCGTAATCGCAGAGAAACCAATTACCAATGCAGCAACAGCAACAGCCACAGCCACAAAAGTAAAAAGAATAAGAGTTACTTTATGTATACGATATTATGCCACACACGCATACTATATGCAACAAAACTCGTGGCTTCTACCATTTTGTTGTGCTCTGTTTAATTTTCTAGAGTAGTAACTTCTTCTTTTTGGTGTTTTTTTTGGTGTTTATACTCTTTGAGGAGGTCTCTATTATTTTGGGCAGATTGCTGCGCAATAAAATTGATCAGAATCGAGTCTATACATCTACTATTTCCTTTTTTAGGCACACCACTTAAGAACTCACTCAGTCTCTCCAGTCTGAAGAGAGTCCATCCAAAGGGCTGCTCATCGATGGTCCCAGGGTATTCAAAATTCGGCTTGCATAGGCAAGCTTTCGTTAATTTTCCAGCAACACAACATTACAACATGGTTATAAATAATTCTTAGTGGAAAATTTTTGTTATGTTTTCCTCCCTTTTTGGGGGCCCACATCAATCTCTTGTTCCACCTTTTCCTTTTACCGCAATTTAAACCTAATTTTTTTAGTGTTTTTTTCTTTCCCTCCCTTGAAGCCCATAAAGAAGCGGGTTCTCATTGACTTTCTTTAACGTCTGGGCGGCTTTGTGGTTGGTCGTTGGCCAAGTGTAAAGTTTTCCCAAGACGCCAGGCGACAATGATAAAGCCAAAAACAGAAAAACCAAAATAAAAAGGTAAAAAGCCAAACCCGAAATAGGCAAAAGTCACTTGCGGAAATAAACGAAGGTGAACGTTTTCGCATTTAAAAGTGAAATTTGGTGTGTTTTCTTTCTTTGTTTCAACTGGGCTCAGGCATCCCCCAAAAAGCAGCTTTTGGAGTTCAGTTTTATTATTTGTTTGCTTTCAAATGTGGGAAAAATCACAGCGCAAAAGTTACGGCATAGTGGGGCACAGTCCAAAACCAGCCCCAGCCCCAAGAAAGTGTTAATCAAGTCATGACGACGTTCTGTCTCTGGGCCGAAATGACTTTTGGATTTGTTTGAATTACGTGCGAAGCCACAGTCACTAAGTGTCCGACTTTGTCTTTGTGTCAGCCGTTGGTCAGAGTCGCCTATTGGCCATCTACTTGTCGGTGACATAATCGGTGTCGTGGCTTTATGATGGGCCTGGCCTCGTCCGGCAATTGGGGGAAAGTCTGACCCACACGACACTTGCACAAACCGAGAAAAAGACAGCCTCATCATCGTCCTGAATCATGATTCTCACACAGGTGACATAATACACTTGCATGACATTTACCCCGATCTGTCGCCGAACGCGAACAAGCCACAGCACCAGCAGCAGCAGCAGCACCACCAACATCACCAGCACCACCACAGCAGCAGTGGCAACGGCCTGTCGGCGGCCTCATCCACATCATCCACCTCATCCTCATCCGCCTCCGCATCAGCGGGCCGGCCATCCTACACCAGCAGCAGCAGCAACAACAACAACAATTACTACAGCACCAAGCGTCCCACGCTGTACAGCGGCTCCAATCCGTACAAGCCGGGACGTCCCTCGTCCACTCTGAATAACTGGGAGCACGAGACGGGGTCCGTCAGTGGCATCACCAATCACCTGGACAGCTTCTTCGATGCCGATGGCCCAGCGCCCTTGGATCCAGCGGGAGGACCGCAGCAGCCGCCGCCACCCCACGAGCTGCTGCCCAACGCCCAGGCCTTTGCGGTGGGCAATGTCCTCGACCTGAATGCGGGCGAGGCGGCCGACGAGTATCAGAGTGGTGGAGGATATCACGAGTCCAGTTATCGACCAGTGCCGGGTACCAATCCATCACGTACCTCTCTCTGTCTCTCTCTCTTACACACACACACACACGTAGCACAATTGCAAACGATTTTCCTTTAAGTAGCACCACCACACACCAACCACTCTACACTCTCGCACCACGCACTGTTGTAGATTCTGTTGTGTTCTATTTGTATCTTTCTCTCACTTTGAAGTACGTTCTTTTGGATCTCCATCAACTTGTCTCTTTCCCTCTCTCTCTCTCGCAGGCTGTGGAGAGGTGTACACCCGCTCCAATCGCATTGTGGGCGGCCACTCCACAGGATTCGGCTCGCATCCCTGGCAGGTGGCCTTGATCAAGAGCGGTTTCCTCACCCGAAAGCTGAGCTGCGGCGGTGCCCTGATCTCAAACCGTTGGGTGGTCACGGCCGCCCACTGTGTGGCTACGTGAGTACAGTTTGCACCCTACACCTTCACCTAATTGACGTTGAATCCCTCTCCTCTTCCGATATACAGCACCACCAACTCGAACATGAAGATACGCCTGGGCGAGTGGGATGTGCGGGCGCAGGAGGAGCGCCTGAACCACGAGGAGTATGGCATTGAGCGTAAGGAGGTGCATCCGCACTACAATCCGGCGGACTTTAAGAACGACGTGGCTCTGATACGCCTGGACCACAACGTGGTCTACAAGCAGCACATCATACCCGTCTGCCTGCCGCCGGCGTCGACCAAGCTGACGGGCAAAATGGCCACCGTGGCGGGGTGGGGGCGGACGCGGCACGGCCAGAGTACGGTGCCGTCGGTGCTGCAGGAGGTGGATGTGGAGGTCATCTCCAACGATCGCTGCCAGCGATGGTTCCGCGCTGCGGGACGACGGGAGGCCATCCACGATGTGAGTATTGATTCCGCCATTCCAATGGGAACTATTCTAGTTTTAGCCCCACTTGCAGGTGTTTCTCTGCGCCGGCTACAAGGAGGGTGGCCGGGACTCCTGCCAGGGCGACTCCGGTGGTCCTCTCACCCTCACAATGGACGGCCGCAAGACGCTGATCGGCCTGGTCTCCTGGGGAATCGGCTGCGGCCGGGAGCACCTGCCGGGCGTCTACACGAACATCCAGCGCTTCGTGCCCTGGATCAACAAGGTGATGGCCAACGACAATGCGTAGTGCGGGACGCGGCCCGCCCCTGGACCAGGGGAGCAAACTGAATTGGAAGACTGCACCTGTCCGCGGAGAAGTTGTGCGGTTGAGCGGTTGTGCGGTTGCGTGTCTCCGTCGCGTTGCGGGGATGGTGATGGTGATGGTGATGGAGCGCCCCCAGCGTCCGCATCTCGGGAGCCAGGCCATGTGATTCCTCTACGACTCGGGGTTGCTAGTGTGTAAGACGAAGGTCGTCGCCATCGCGAGCCTTGTATTTATTTTAATCTAACTCCAGTTTCCAGGGACCCCCTATCCCAATCCGAACCCTGCCCCCCATTCACCCCTGCATTCATTTGTTGTTTGGGTTAAACTTTCCATATTTATTACACTGTTCGACGAACGATTCCTACGATAGACATTCACTTACAAAACCATCATATTTATAGTGTTAGTTATTTAAACAATTATAAAATAAAAACAAGTATTAAAATGTGTACAAGGTGTATGTGAAATTGGCTTTCATTTGCCTGATTCAAGACCCATTTTTATCGATCATTTGGAATCCCTGGAGTTCCTTTCTCTTGGAACTCAAGAATGTCTAGGGATCTGGCTTCTTGCAGACTTTAATATCCATTTCCTAAGTTTATTTATATTTAATATAAAACAGAGCCTTGTGCTAAAGCATATTTATCTCTTTATATTCTTTAAAATTAAATTTAAAATGTAAAAAAATCTTTGACTTCTTCAGAAATTTTCAAAAAATTAGTTGTATACTTTTGGGTTGGTTTCTGGCTGATAAGAGTGATTATAGCCCCCATTTGCAGTGGCTAGAAGGTGGGAAACGAAGTGCAAGAATTAACAGCATAATATGACTAGCATTCGGGCTCCTCTCTATGTTTTTTCCATCTCTCATGATAAGTGTAAACATTATAAAGAGAGAGGGATAACAATGCCGACGCTTACTTATAATTTCTTATTAAATATATTGTATAAGTGGCATAAATCATACGGTCATCTATGTACTGAATGAGGATCGGTTGCAAAGTAGAGCCGCGGCTCTTGCCGCGCTCCCAACATTCCCGCTCGTTTTTAAAACAGAGTTTCTACATCTACAATTTAAAATAATTCATAATATTACTAATATTATATTATTGCATTATAATATTAATAATATACATAATAAAATAAAGTTCTTGTCAGAAAGACTTTTTCCGCTTCGTTCGGAAGGAAGAGACTTGTGGGATACACTGTATAGTTTTGGGGCTTGTTTCTCCGCCAAATTCCAACTCTGCCCTCACTTGACAGTCTTGGTTTACATTTACTTTACACATTGGCCCCAACAAAATGTGGAGTTGTCCCCAGCTGATAGCCAAGTTCCGAACCTTTGGGTACAGCCAGGCCCAAAGCGAATTTTGTGGCTTAAGAAAACAAAAGACAAACAACAAGAAGAAAAACATTAAAGAATGAAAAGTAAACAATAAACAGTCGTAAGGGGAAAGAAGTGTTGAGATTAAGTCGATGTCCCAAACACATATATTCCCGACCCGGAGTGGAGTTGCGACAGTGCAACAGGTGCCACAGACAGCGCGTGGTCTGAATTCCTAATGAGTTCAACTTCCGCCAAGACATTCAGAGGTGATTAAGACTCTGCCACTTTGTGGCTTCTTATCAGCGGGTATCGTGTGGATTCCGAGATGCTCAAATATCTGTAGGAGAAACGCAGAGCAAGGGGAGACCAAGGTGGAGCGGGGGGCGAGCACAGTAGCTAATGATGGAGCTTATCAGCCAACGCACACTCTCTCTCTAAACTCTCTCTCTCTCTCTCTCTCTGGGACGGACTCGCTCTTAGGATCCACATTGGCATCCACTTCTTTTGGCCAAAGAACTGGCCACCAACAGGCACTGCTTGTCGATTTGCCTTTCAGTTGCTGTGGAGCAGCTGTCAAGGTCTCACAAGTTCAAGAAACGGCCGAATCCGAATCCGAGTCCGAATCGGAATCCTCTCCGCCATCGTTTGCGTCTGCCCCCATCGCCATCGCCATCGCCGTTGCTTTGGCCAAGTTGAGTTAATTGTGCGTTTTGTTCATTAAATAAAGAAAAAACATGGCAAATAAATGATATTATGATCCGCGTCTTCGCCTTCCCCCATTATTCCATTTGTTTGGACGGAACTGTGCCTAAATCTTGTTTGATAACTTGCTTGCTTTCGACCACAAATGGTTGTTGCTTTTTTTTGTTGCTTGAAGCCTAATGATCTAATGGTCTCTGCCTAATGAAGTGCCTGATCAAATGCAATTCTTATCAGCAAATAGCTCGTACATATGTAGATATGTTCAACCACACTCAAACGTTCGCAAAGATGGACTTTCTTAACCTGAGGACGTGCATAAATTATAACACACTAACACCTGGATGGATGGTGACATAAAGAATGGCCAGAAGCACCACAAAATATGAAAAGAACCAGAAAGAAAGGCCAGCTTTCGGGGGGGCCGAAGCATCGCATACCCTCGCCGAAGGGGATCGATTTACACATCTTGCATGGATAATACCTTAAGAAAGGGTACTCATAGAGTGTAGAAAGCATCCAGATCTCTAAAAGTGTGTGTGTGTGTGTGTGTGTGTTTGTTTGTTTGCTTCTCTGTTGTGTGCTGCTTCTTGCTATTTTAATGTGAAAGCGCTGTTAGCCCCAAAACTGGAGAAGAAGCGCCGTAGTACCCCTGCCCATGACTTGCCCCCACCCCACCCCTGCCGAACAGCATTTGCCGCCAATCAGCTGTGCCGAGAGAGAGAGAGCGAGAGCGTGAGAGTCAGCACAAGAGAGCCCATGTGCGTGTGTGTGTGTGTGTGTGTGTGTGTGTGTGAAGTTCATTTGAATAAGAAATAGCGCCTAGCATTTGGCTGTTCTCGCTGCTGGCCTTAATGGAAACCGTTATGCGCGTAGCAGTCGGCGTCGCTGCCAAGCTCTAGCAGCGGCACGCATGCGCGCACATGTTGGATCCGAGCCCCAGCAAACGAGCGAGCGAGCGAGCGCTAGAGAGACAGAGAGAGAGCGAACTTCTACCAATTTCGCTTTGTCGTTCTTCAGCTCTGCCACCGTCTCAGTCACAAATCTCAGTCAACGTCAACGCCAGCGTCGGCCGCAGCAGCGTCTCTGCCTCGTCTTGGCCTGGCCTGCTGGTGTGTGGATCTTTTGTGAGCGCGCTCCTCCTCAGACGTGCGCAACTTGTCGCGGTCTGACCACGTCCACGTCCACGTCCGCGTTTCGTTTCGTTTCGCTTTGGTCTGGTCTTTGTCGCGGGATCTTCTTCCACACCACACCGCCACCGCCACACAGCACAGCCACAGAGCACTCCGCACTAAAGTGCTCCACTCCGCTCTCCGACGAGAGCTGCTGCGTTCGTGCGTGTTTGTGCAGTTAAATAATTGGCCTGACCCAAGTCCGAGGCAAGTTCAAGTGCAGATACGATATATATATGTACACCCGTGCGGCAGGAGGATCTGCGAGATTTTCGGCAGAGCTTCCTCCGCTCCGGCCAACAATAACCAGCAATTATCCCGCGACTAACAGTGTTTTGTGTGATTTTTTCTTTCGGCTCTGGCCTGAAACAAAGGGCAGTCGCTGGGAATAAAAGAAAGGCAACGAAAGAGAGAGAGAGAGAGAAAAAGCGAGTGTCAAACAAAAGCCAAATGTGAAGAAACTCATAAAACGGACAGACGAAGAAGTTAAGCAAACATCAAAGTAACAAAAAACACCAAAAAAAAAATGGAAATGGAAGAAAAAAAAAACCAGAGAATATAATAACAATAATACAGTAACAGCAAATTAAAAGAAATGACCCAAAAATAGTCGGCAGCAGTGGGGAAGAAGTTAGACCGAAACGCCACGCCACGCCACGGCACGGCACGGCACGGCACGAGAGCCGCCAGCCGAAAGCCCAACGCAAGCAAATGCAAACGATGCGAGTCTGAGATACGAGATACGCATCTGTCAGATACGCCGGCCCTAGTAATCTCTCCATCTCTGTGTGCGTTTGTGTGAGTGTACTTTCTACCGCGTACAAGTCAATTAAGCGCCAACTCGGAGCACTCTTCGGATACATATACAGAGACCAGACCAGCAGCCCACACAGATGCAGCAGCAGAAGCAGCAGCAGCAACAGATACAAGCGCACACGATAGATGCGCATAACTGCAACTAACTGCACCATCGGTGGCAGGGGGATCAGGGGCAGCAACAGCAGCAACCGCAAAACAAGAGCAGCAAGTTCAAGCGCCCCGCAAACACGGCCAAAGCTCAAAAACAAGTCCAAAGCAAAAGTTGCAGTTGGCTCGCTCCAATCTGATCTGTTCTGTTCTGTTCTGTTCTGTTCTGCTCTGCAACTTATCTGCCCCTGCTGCAAATTTATTGAAATTCCTGCAAAGTACAGAGCCGAGCCACAAGAGTGGCAGCAGCTTAGTACAAGTGTTTCAATTGCGGCTGCTTCTGCTGCTGCTGTGGCACGGCTCTTGCGGCTCTTGCGGCTCTTGCGGCAGCCAAGACCAGAGACAAGAGCAGAGCAGACCAGAGCTGTGCTGCTGGCTGCTGGCTGCACCAAAAGATTTTTGCTTTTCGGTTTAAAGAACTGGTCTGATAGTCGTTTCAGGGAGACGATGCATAAGACTGGGTATGCCTATGGCCTCGGGTATGAAGGGTTAGAGGGAATACTAACAAAAGTATGGGGCAGTGCATTCATTCAATAAAAGGTCCAACAGAAAGGACACATAAAAGATACTTTACTACCAAGTGAAGGAGAATGTCCTATCTTGATCATGATCCTGCTGCCGTGAATGGAATTATTATAGGCCTTTCGTTGCCTCAATTTCTATTGATCTATAATCAATTTCCTGTTTTCCAAAGAAACACTTCCCCAACAACGCTGGGTATCCATCGATCGACTCCATTCCCCGTCCACACACACGGTTCTTCCTTATTGTTGGAGGCCTGCCGCCCCTCCAACTGGCTTTGGTCTAAACTGCAGTCAGCAGCAGCAGCGGAGGAGCGGGCTGGAGGTGGAGCTGCAGCACGTTTGGCTTGCGGCACAGATGAGCTGGAGCCGTGCCCCATACCCATACCCGCACCCGTGCCTCGGTGTTATTTGCATTTCATGTTCCTGGGTCGCGCTCTGGTTTATACAGGTTTTTTGGCGCAGAGGCAGAGGAGCCACTCCCGAGATGCTGCGGCCCGGGCGGTAGCACAGAATGCCTCACAATAATTATTGTAATTTGCATTTGGCATTTGCAATTGAGAGATTGCCACTGATCCGATTTCAATTCCCATTGCAATTAGTTGGCCCTCAGGGGGGATCCACGTCGAGTTCGTGCCTTGCAGTCTTTGGTTTTCGTGAACTAATGACGGCAGCAGGTAGAAGTACCTGATCCAAGGCAACCCGCAGCAGTACAGACCAGCAACAGAAACACAAAAATAAAACAAACACAAATTTCTCCCAGCTCTTTGCCGTTTTTGGTAAGCAGAAATGAAAGCAGAAGCAGCGGAAAGCGGGAAGCGGAAAGCAAGACTTACTTCTTATTTGATTATACCAGATATGTACACATACCTGTAGATGATATACATGCCTTTTGATGGACTGCCCCGTTCCGCTGTAAATGGCATCATTCTTTTGTTCGCCATTTGAAGCTGCAAGTTACAAGCCACAAGCCGCCATTTCACTTTTCTTTTAAGTAAAGAAATTTGCTGGCTTTCGCTTTTTACCGAGGGCACACACCACAGCTGGCAAAATGTATTTTTAATAACAAACAACGGCGGCAACAATTGTAATTTCACTTTTAACGAGCCAACGAAACTGTCACTTGTATGGGGTTCGAGTGGAAATTACTTAATTGCCCATAAAGGCAGTGCTGATGATGATTTCTTCTGACGAGAATCATGCAAATCATTTTCTGGCTCTGACCCAGATCCGGCCAAATCTCCATCGCCATCTTCCCAGGCATTCACGTGCCCCGATTCTGGTTATCGCTTCTCTCTCTCGCAGTAGCCGATCCGAAATTCATGTTAATTTGCACACAACACACCGGGCAACGCCAACACACAATTATACAGATTCAGATACAGATACAGATCCAGCTACAGATATTTCTGGTGCTGTGAACGTGAACGTGACCCAAATACACAAATAGCTGGCCAGCATTTTTGAGGCATTCGAGGCGGCTGTGAAAAAAAAGCAAAACAATCATCGAGGCGAGTGGCTGTCGAGGTGTGCCAGCAATTAGTTCGATAATCTGCCATGGGCTTATGCACGAGTACATCCGTACAGATGTATGTTTTATGGCTTCCGTTCTCTCCATTCCCCAGAGTCTTTCCCTGAGAGGCTGGTACAGATCTGATTAGTTAATGGCTATAGACACCTCTAAGACAAACAGAGCCGCAGCCGCTGATGCTGCCTTCCGGTGGGGGGGTTCAATGACCGTATTACGCAACACACACTCGTAGAACAGCAGCAGCAGCAGCCAACAATGAGAGTTACTCTCCCCGCTAACCGTTAGCCCGGCCTGAGCCCCGCTCTAAACGCAGCTAATTTCTCAATGCTGCAGAATCGTGACTCAAAGAAAGAACAAACCAAACAGAACAGAACAGAACAGAAACGATCCGAGAAGAAGGCTCGATCAATGAATAGTGGTATGTGCGAGTGTAGTACTGGTATGTTGTCACCGCAAGATGCCTCTGGGCTGTTTCTGTATGGGTATGGGTATGGGTATGGGTATGGGATAGTTACATATATGTAGACACGCATTGTCATTCGTTCCCGGAGCAGGTCCAGTTAACTTTAGCCAACTCATCATCATCGCCGGCTGCTGCTCGTTTGCTCGGTTACGCTTTCTTTGATTGCCACAGTTTATGTCATCGTTTCTGTAACTGAACTTTCTTTGCTCGATCGAACTCTGGATCAATTAGCCGTCTGTTGAACTCTGTTCCGAGCTATGGGCTGAGAACTAGTTATGGGCATGGGAATGGACTTCAAGATGGGCATGGGAATGGGAAAATGCATTTCCGAACAGTTATATAAACGAAGCTCAAGACTAATCCATTGATTATACAATCTCTAAGTCGGTTACCGTTTGGAACGCTTTCTTTGTTATCGCACACACACACACACACACACACACACTCGCTCACTTTTGCTTTCCATTTGGGCCATTTTGGGCATGACTAAACCCACACTCGTACGCGCCATATTACACATACGCCCTGGTTGCCGAACATAAAACATTCGTTTTCTGTTACCCTTAGAGCGGGGTATTGTGGGTTTGAGAATGAAGAATCTACGAGCCAGTGGAGTGGAATGGCCATATTTCCATGGGATAATCCAACCAAGTACTACAGCTGTCATGGGTTCAGCGGATCGGCGAGGGTATCCAGAGCTTCGGCCTGCGAGCATTGCCTTTCTATCTGGTTTTTTTCTTCGTTTTTGCATATGCAAGTCACTGGAGAGAGACTTTCACCTACTTGAGTCAGCGGCATATTGCTTCTACGCACTTGCTCGACGGTGCCGCCTCGTCGTGTCGCCTGCCTGGGCCGTGCCCATAACTTGCTGTAGAAATGCCACAGCGATTAATTTGAATAATGCCGTCAAAACGTTTCACATTTCCACATGACTCACACAATAACCAATTTATGTTTCATTTTGCAGATGGGTGCACAATACACATCCACAGATACAGATACAGATAAAGACGCCTACACATACAGAGCCACAAGGAGAGCCACAGATCTAGCACCCAAAAGTAGAGCAACGTCAACCAAACAGAAGATGCCACTGCCACTGCCACTGCCGCTGCCAGGCCTCGTCCTCAGCCTCCTCCCCCTCCTCCTCGTGTCACTGGCCAGCCTGAGTCTGGTGCTGCCGACAACGAACGCCAGTCCCGTCTTTGTGGATAATCCCAGCTTAGCACAGTGTAAGTATCCGCCCCCCCCCCCCCCCCCCCCCCATCCAGCCCTTGGCCACCTGATATGGAATCATCCCAGCCATCAGCAAAGCTGTTGTCAAATCATTGACGATCTTATTTAGCTGGAATTACTCAGCAGATACAGATACAGATACAGCCACAGCTTATGCCTGGTCTACATATGTACATACATTGTTTCCCAAGAACTCCAGCACTTTCTCTCACGTAGCCCCATTAAAAGTTTCTTTTGTATAGGGGTCCAGAGAGATAATCCCGCGTAATAATGGGGGAAATCCGTAATGAGCACGTTTCAAAATAAAATATATGGGTACAAGTGTGGGGATGAGACAAATAAAGGAATCCTGTTTTAACCAAAACCTAACAATTTCTTGGAATGCAAAGGAACATTTTTAAATACGAGTTTTGTAAACACATGGCAGTGAAAGGTGAAGTGTTTTTTGTCAGGTGTTAGGGGTTTTTTTTTTCAAAGATGAAGTCATGCAGAAAACAAACACATACGTTCAGTGAATAAAAGTAAATAATTTAGAGGAGAACTCGATTCTCGATATCTTTGGGCTGCCATTAACACCGCAATTTTAATATTTACAAAAAGCCGAGGAAACAGAGACTCGAAAAAAAGGAAACTTTTAACAGAAAAACAAATAAACTAGTATATTTTTGATAAAAGATCAGATTAGGTTATTCGATTAGGTTAGCTCCAGATTGGAATCCCAATCTATGAGAAACTATCAATCAGTTTTCTTTTCATGTAAAACCTGAAGTACGGATAGAAGTTTGCCATAGTTCTGGGTCATCTCTTGGGGATTTCATGGCTCTCCAAAGCTCTGAGAGATCAGGTTCCTTTGGCACTACAAGCATATGGCGACGGTAGCAGACACTGCAAAATATTTAATGCCAAAAATAAGAAAATACAAAAGACTGAAGCGACAAACTAGTTCGGATTGAGAACAGAGGTAGAGGTAGAGCCAGAGAGCATTTCTAATGAAAGTAATCAAATTTAATGACGATAGAGACAGGCGTCTCCCGGGCAAGGAGATTAATTGGGTCATAGCCATTAAGAGCCAAATTTATACGCTATTAGCACTTCCTCTCGGGGCCCCACACGGCTGCCAATTTGTCTGCGAGAGACAACAAAGAGCAGCCATTCATTCAGTGTGAGAGCAGGTGAGAGATGAAAATAAAACTACACAACTTTCATATACTCGTAAGAGCCAGAGCCAGGCAACGAGCCAAGCAGCCAAACGGCCAAACGGGCAAACGTCAGCGAGCAAAAGCAATTGAGGTCAACCATCAAAGAATGTTGCCATAAAATGAGCCACCGCTTCCACCACTACCACTACCATGGCCGTCGCCAGTCAGGCAGCAAGTCCGACTCGGACGCAAGCCGGGAATCTGAATCGGAATCGGATTCGGATTGGTGTGGCACACTCTGGCTCTGACTGTGATTCTCCTCTCCGTAAGAAAGCCGGCGCGCATTTCATGTTTATGACTGGTCCAGCAGCCACAAAGAAAAATATAAGAGAAACAATATATACCCGTACATGGCCAAGACGGGAAGAGGCGGCCACAGAAAGCGGAAAGTAAATTTGATGGCAAGTGAAAGGGAAATAAAACAAACAGACGCAAAGTGGGGCCCAGATCGAACCGAACCTTCGGGTGTTCGGTTCTTTGGTTCTTTGGTTCTTCGGCTGTTGGGTTCTCCTGGTAGCTGACCCACTTAGCCACTGCGCCACTCACCCACAATCGTGCCACGAAAATGTTGCCGCATTCGCATGCCAAAAACGAATTTCCTACATTGCAATGCGGGCCAGGTCTGCTGCCAGGCCGTGGCCGAGACTCTGTCGTCTGTCGTGGGGCGGGCTACTTGGTAGGCTGGCCGAGTGGCTGGCGAAACATATGCTAAGCCGTTGACCCAAAAAGCCACAAAACGAAATGCAAACAGAAATCGAGAAACACAGAGATACTCGAACAGAGAACACGCTGCCACTGCTGGCTGCTCAGCCAGCGTCGACGGCGACTGCTCAGCCGGCGTCTAGGAAACGTGACCATCGCCATCGCCATCGCCCTGACCATCGCCTTGGGTACAAATTTTTGTGGACTGAATCCCATATGCAGGCCGCCAGTTCGTGTCTTGAGTCATTCGCTTGGGCCTCTGCCGCCTGCAAACCATCGCGAAAGACCACTGATGTCAGAATTTCGTGCTAATTGCATAAGAAATGCGCGACACTTTACGGCTTAAGTTCAATAAACGCAAAACACCAAAAAGACAGCTGGCAATATTTCACAGCCTTTGATACCCTATTGAAAGGGCTTTGCTGAGGCCACACCGACTAGCGGCGTATTTTGTGGCATTTATAAAAGGAATGCCTAGGGGGCCTAACGGCTGTATCTGATAAATCTAGTGGCTTTTATTGGTCTTCAAGTTGAAGAAGAAGTTTCTGTTTGAAAAGAGCATTTAATGCAGAGTGTTCCCCCGTTTTATTTGCCTTTGATTTAACCTGAATATAAGACAAGAGCAAAGGCGGCTAACAAAGTACGTTATTTATTTGCGAGTATTTTTGGGGAGCCTGTCTTGGCCAGGCTTGTTATGTTTATTTATGGTCAAAAGCAGAACAGGATCGCGAACTGGGCCGGCCAGCTCGTGCTCGTCCCTGGCCGCGTTCGTTTAGCAATTTTTCCGAGAACCCCCCCCCAACCCCCCGAGGCACGCAAAACTTTTGGCCTCATCTTATGTAAGTTCAAAGCTCTCGCTTGGATAATGCCCGGCTCGATTACACAATGATCATGCTGCTGCTTCTGCTGCTGCTGATGATGATGATGATGATGGTGGTTCTCGGTTCTCGCAGAAGCAGCACAAAAACAGAAATCATAAATAAATAACAATAATGCGGATGGGGCTACTGTTGCCTCATCGGGCGGTCTGGGCCCCCATGATACGATGACGCCCTTCAGCCGTTTGCGGCTTTTATGGGCCGCTGCTTGGTGCTTGGTGGTTCGTGGCCCGTCTTGGTCTTCGTTTTCGGCCTGTTGCCACTTCATTTTCACTTGTGTTAACTGTTGTTTGCCTAACGGCGAAAGGCCAGACCTCTCAAATTGGCGTACAAATTCGAAGGCGTTAATCGGCCCCGGCAAACGGAAATGGTGTGGAGCATTGGTGTGGAGTATTGATAGAACCAGAAAAGGCATCGGCCAGTCATCATCATTATCATCATTATTATAGCTATTATTAGTACTCATTACACTATACTGATTGTGATTATCATTATCTGGGTTCTGGACAGTCCAATCGGGCCGCAATATTCGACATCTGCCCTGCATCGTGCGGAAGTCCGGCCGCTCCGGAGTCTGCATGTTCGCCATCGACTGCATCAAGCAGAACGGCACGCACCTGGGCACCTGCATCGATCGCTTCTACTTTGGCTCCTGCTGTGCGATGAAGGTGAGTTCATCCCCAGCCCCCAGCCCCCTGGCCACCCAACCAACTAATACTCCTTTTTCCTTCCAGGAGGAGGCTTCCCTGTTCGCCCCGGAGCTCAACGACAACAGCATCGACCAGAATACCATCTCGCACTTTGCCCATGAGTCCACCACGCTGCCCACGAGCTCCCTCTTCAAGCTTACCACCGAAAGTGGCATCAGCAGCAGCAGCAGCAGCGGGGGCACCACCCACAAGAACCACCAACAGTCGACGCAGCACACGAGCAACGAGCTGCTCAAGAACGTCACCCAATCGTATCTGAGCACCGCCAAGCCCGTGCGCACCACACTCTCGACCACCACCACGCGGCGCCCAGTGCAGGACCACACGACTCACAAGAACTCGCACTTTGTGGTACGGACAACGGCCAAGCCACCAGCAGGTCCACTGCCATCCACCACGGCTAAGCCGCCGCGTCGGCGCACCACCAGCGCCAGGCCAGTGCTGACCACTGGCCCCGTGGCGGTTGAGCAGCGCATTGAAACCACCACGGTCCCCATCAAGTTTGTTACCTTCCAAATTGTGGAGACGACAACGCCGCCGTCCACAGAGCCCGGCCACAGGGTGGAGACGACAACGACAACAACCAGGAGGCATACAAGGCCCACCACGAGCAGCAGCAGTGGCAGCAGCAGCTCGGCATCTTTCAAAACAACAACCACAACTGCACCCATCGCAAGCACGACGACAAAGGCACCAGAAACCACGGCACAGTCCAGCACTCAGCGTCCGACACCGCCTCTACGCACCACCACCCCCAAGCCACACAAAACACATTCGAGTAGACGGCCAACGCCCCCAAAGAAGCCGATTGGGTCGACAACAACCACCGCTAGTGGCACGCAAGCCACAAGGAAACCAGTGGAGAGCCTGAGCAGCACCACCAGCACCGCGAATGGAACCACAGTAACGACTGCACCAGGCCGCAGGCCTGTGATTCAAACCACCAGCTCCATTACCTCTACGACAACAACCACGAGCACATCTTTCAAGGACGAGTTGCACGGCAATCGGACAACAGCCACAAAGCTGCCAGAGCGCACCACTCAGGCGCCCAGGCCAAGGCCGAAACCAACTGGGGAGTACGTAAAGGTGCCCGTCATGCTGGCGGAGCCAGACACCCCCATGGCAACAGCAAGCACCAGCAGTACCGCCTCAAAAGCACCTTCAACAACAACCACTGTTACAACCACTGCCCCACCTAAAACGAAGCCTAGCAGCTCCTCTACAACAACAACAACAACAACAACGACCACAACAACTACGCCAAAGCCCACGCGTCGTCACACAACCAAAGCCCCAATCACAACACCAATCACCACTAAAGCAACAACAACAACGACAACAACAACCACCCCCAAAACAACGACAAGGACAACAGCAACAACAACAACTGCCACTAAACCTCCCACAACGACGGCAGCCACAGAGAGACCATTGTTGAGCACGAGCACTCCCAAAACAGAAACAACAACGACCAAGAAGCCCGGCCTGATCACCTGGACGGACGTGGAGGCTGAGCCACAGACGAACGCAAGCATTTCCAACGACTGGCAGCCGGCACCACCCCCACCCAACCAGCAGACCGAGTTGCAGGCGCTGAACAAAACATCGGCGAGCACAGGTGAGTGTGTCTTTTTCTTGCCACAAGTTTTGTTCTTTTCTAATGCAGGTTTTCGCTTTCCAACCGCCAATCGGCAGCAGCACCACCCACGGCCACCGACAAAGTGGTCATCTCTGTGGCCACTAGTGTCAGCACCAGCGAGTCGAAGCCTGGTTCGGTAGAGACCCACAGTCCCACAGAAAAGCCTCACAGGACCACGAAACCACCGAAAGCCACAAGCACCGCCAGGCCAGCAACCACGACGACTGTCAAAACCACAGAGGGACCAGAGAGCAGCACCAGCAGCAGCAGCAGCAGCGTTCCTTTGGCCTCCTCATCTACATCATCTTCCATTGAGCTCAGCTCGGAGACGGGATCAGGCAGCAGCACCACCGCAGAGCCAGCAACGACAGAAGTCGCAGCGGCTACCACTGATTACAGCGGCGAGGAAGTGAGCCTGACGACGACCATGGAGCCAGCAGCTGGGAGCACAACGCTAGCGCCTGCAAATGCTTTGGAGGGCGTCGATTACAAAGAAGGTGAGTCCACAAGAACGAGCACATGGGTCCATGGTGTCGTATTGTCGTTGTATCTGTATCTTCGAGGTACGCGTCAGTCAGAAAAACTTGTTTCCTTCGAGGAGAAATCTATTAATATACCAGACTTTGGTCATAAGACAAAGCCAAGCATGCGTGGCCATTAAATTCAATTTGAAGGCTAAACGTTGGCCTTGAGCCCAGAGTAAGACCACGAAGAGATGAAGTTGGATGCTGTCTTGGCAGATCTGACCGCCAGCTCATAAATGCCCAAGAAATCTCCTAAGCCTGGCCGCTGCTGCTAGACACACCGAATCCATACCCGATGTCCGCAACAATTTTTACAGCAATCATTTACAATAATGATCCTCGCCCTGCCCCCTGCCCCCTGCCCCACCGCCTCGCTTCGTCGGTCATTGTGCCGCTTGGGTCACGTTGCGTTCTTCCGTCTGCGGAGCCACAACAAACCAAACAGAATCCAAACCAACTCCTGGACCCTTGCCACAGCAGCCCCCTGACCGATTTGCGGCTGCAGAAACAATCTTGATGCACGAAACGAGTCGGTCCGAGTCGGGACAAGTTGCGGACCATAAAGTAGGCCGTTGACTGCTTGCCTTGTGGCCGGCCAAAGTCAAGGACTGCTGGCCGCCTCGCCTCTTCTTGTCCAAAGCATGTTACATTGGCCCGGCCCGGGCCGGACTGGGGCTGGAATGACTGAGTGCCTGGCGAAGTGATTAAAATGTTTAGGGCCTTTTGGGGCCCATTATTTTAATTGTGACCTGGCACAGTGCCTATTAGCAGAGATCTCCTTACTCATCCTGGGCCTCCCCCCCTCTCTCCCTCTCTCCCACTCGCCCCCTCTCAGTGTGTGGACGTCGCATGTTCCCCGAACCGCGCATTGTTGGTGGAGCCAACGCCGCCTTCGGACGCTGGCCCTGGCAGATATCGCTGCGCCAGTGGCGCACCTCCACCTACCTGCACAAGTGCGGAGCGGCTCTACTCAACGAGAACTGGGCAATCACCGCCGCCCATTGTGTGGACAAGTGAGTAGATGCGATTTCCGATGCCCTCCTCCCAGCGGGAGAAATTCACGAGTGATTTGCTTGGGTGCTTTCAGTGTGCCGCCCTCCGATCTGCTGCTGCGCCTGGGCGAGTACGATCTGGCCGAGGAAGAGGAGCCCTACGGCTACCAGGAGCGACGTGTGCAAATCGTCGCCTCTCATCCGCAGTTCGATCCGCGGACCTTTGAGTACGATCTGGCCCTGCTCAGGTGAGTCTGCATCTCTTGGCTTGGTAATTTATATCGATTTCCGTTTCCTGTTCTTCCATCCGATCAGGTTCTATGAGCCGGTGGTCTTTCAACCCAACATCATTCCCGTTTGCGTGCCCGAAAACGACGAGAACTTCATTGGCCAAACGGCCTTCGTCACCGGCTGGGGACGCCTCTACGAGGACGGACCACTGCCCAGCGTCCTGCAGGAGGTGGCCGTGCCGGTCATCAACAACACCATCTGCGAGTCCATGTACCGCACCGCGGGCTACATCGAGCACATACCACACATATTCATCTGTGCCGGCTGGAAGAAGGGCGGCTACGACTCCTGCGAAGGTGAGTAATGGCCGTCGATTATGGCACTGCAGGATCCACTCAATAATCCCCATTTCGCACCTCTCAGGCGATTCCGGTGGCCCCATGGTGCTGCAGCGGGAGGCCGACAAGCGTTTCCAGCTCGGCGGCGTCATCTCTTGGGGCATCGGGTGCGCGGAGGCCAACCAGCCGGGCGTCTACACGCGCATCTCCGAGTTCCGGGACTGGATCAACCAGATTCTGCAGTTCTAGTTCAGTCGACCTCGCCTGTGTATTATGCTTAATACTTAGTGAATGCCTAGCACGTCTTCCACCCACGACTCCGCACCGACTCCCCAGCGAGATCGGACTCTCGGCCCTGGAACCCAACTCAAACTCGGACTCGTGCTCCGGTTATGGCACTCGCTCGGAGATGGCCCATAGCCCATAACCCGAGCAACGATTTCAGTTGCCACCATTTACCTCCACCTGCCCGCAGCTCAAGCGACACCACTACCACTCTGCCGAGACCGCTTCCATTGTCATAATCATAATCTTAGCGTTGCCTAGCCTAACCCTAAACTAGTTAGTGAATGTGATTAACAAGCACACTAAACGAGAGAGCGACGACTATCAGTGTCGCTGTTGCTGTCGCAGTCGCAGTCACAGTCACAGCTCATGTAACGTATTAATCGATTTGACCCTAATTTATTCCCATTTGCTGTAAATAATTTTCTAAATTATTGCATAACATTTACACTTAGCTTTAGTCCCGTACGCGTACTGCATTATTATATAGAAACTCGAAACCTTTTCGATCCTTCGGTAGGGCATTATCACATAAGTCGCTTCTCCTCGAATCGAACCATGCGGAAGAAGCTATTGTAATTTTATCTTATAACGTACTGTAATTATTTATTTATAGCAGATCATGCTCGACAAAATTAATTCAATTAAAATGTTTAAAACAAACCAATGTCTCTGTGTAGTGACAGCAATCTTTATTACGAATGCGAATTGAAGAATCATATTTTCAGACGATCGGAGTTTCGAAGAAAATCAGGAATACATATATGAATACCAAATCGCTATATACATAAAGTAGAATGATCATAATAGTTTCGCCGTTTTACAAAGGATATATTATTGCGGAAACATGTCGATTCAAATCGAAATCAACAACAGCTTGTACATATGAATGTATACTTATCGCTCAAACTGTCTGCTACTTGCACGAAATTGTATGAACTGGAATCCAGAGCTATCTTTGTCTATCATCTAAGTAACGGAAGTCAGCCATAGCAGAGGAGTCTGCAGCCACGACGTACACATACACACATACGCAGTGAAGAAAATTTTAATTTTATTTTACCACACATTCGAAATTTTTGTTTGTTTTTATTTACATGCGCGCCAAATTAAATAGCTGGCAACTCTATTCAGTATACGTATACGTATAATTACGATACGTAAAATGAACGCTAGGTGTCGCTTAAAGACATGTAGTTAAGTTGTAGATGTCATGTAAAAAACTTCTTCAGCAAAACGCATTTCTGTCCGATTCATTTGTTATACATCTACATCTGTCTCTCTTTCTCGCGCTTCTCACACCAGCACCAGCCGTTATATCTTAAGCTGATTCTCGTGTGTTCTCCCCTTTCTGTCCTAATCCAAAACTCTGCTAAAATTCAAAAAGTCTTACTTTTGGGGATACATCCGCGTAGAAGCCCCTCGTTACACACTTAGCCGCTATTGGAATTCCGAATGCATGAGACGATTCACACATTATTTGGGCAGGTGCCACTGCCACTGCGGCCAAACTGAAAACTTTCTTTGCTGGCCAGCCAGCAACGATAAAGAGTAAATAGAAAAATGTTCAACATTTTGTTTTGCATATGTAAGGCCAGAAAACGAAAATGATTAAGTATGCCAAACATGTATCCAACGATCAGCAAACGAAGGTAAAGTAAAGACAATGCAAAGGAAATCAAATAAAATATTGCGGCCTTTGAAATTGTATCCCTTTTCGCAGTTTTTCTTATAAGCATATTGGTCATAATTGCTTATGCTTATTGAACAACTTTCAGCGAAGACTAGCTATTCCCAGCAGACCGGCATCACATCCCAATTCAATGTGTTCAATGGATCCCAATTGTATGGGATTGTGGAGCTGGATTTTTGGGGGGGTACCCAATAATAAATAAATTAAAATATTTCCTAGTGCTAGTTGATCGTGCCCTTATATTACACGTATCTGCTGTGTCGCTGATCGTGGCCTGCAATTACTGACTTTTGTCGTGGTACTTTCGCTCTCGGTTGATGGCTGATGGCTTATAGTTGTTGGTCATTTGAATATGACCCCCTCGGACACCCGTTACCCTCCCGCGGACATATTTTATGGCGTGTGGGAGCCCCAGTGCGTTGCAAGTACATGCCGCGGGATCCCTTGCGGCAGGCATATTATAATTTGTACAGACCTCGCGTACCACGAAGGGGTCATGCGTCCAGATTATGATCGGCTGCGGCACGACCATTCGGTCCTTAGTCACTTTTGGATAATATGTTGCATGAACTTTCACATGCGATTCGTGCTCGTAATGGTCTTCGAGATTAGGGGGATTCGTCAGGCGATGATCCTCTGCTGCGATTAGCTAACTGAGTTTAATAGACTTATAAGCCATAAATATGACCCACTCGAGAGAAAGTGAAAATTTGTGGTGCCGATTTGATCTGCTTTTGGGCAGGCGTGATTTAGCTTGACAATTTGAATTAATTCGTCAACAAATTGGCGATTGATGACGCTCGATGTCTTTATTTATAGAGGGACACCGCTTTACGCTTTATGCAAGACGCCTACCGAAATCAAAGTGAAATTTTTGATGGACTGACATAATAGACATTTGCTAAATTATACGATATTGTTACAGATGTAGCACATTTGGGCACCCTGTTGCGGGCTTTTGCAAATGATGGCCAAATGGCCACAGCCAAATCTAGAGCATTCCCATGGAAAACGAAAGCGATGAAGTAACGGCTGCCCCAGGTGTCTCCAGGTGAAGTGTCTTGCATTTGATTTCTATAGAAACGTTGCACAATTAAAACGCTTGAAGCATCATCAAAAGCCGCACACACCACCAGCGAATGTGGGGGCGGGTGTCAGTCAGAGATCAGCATGGGGGCATGAAAGATGACCACCAACCACTGTACCTGTACCTGTGCCGAATGCACAATGACGATTTTCAGACTTTCCCAACGCACCAGAAGTACAATGGAAATTTCTTATTTTTCTGGCCAAAAGATTTATAGGAACAGCCGCATCGCCCCTGCCAGCAGTCAGCAGCCACTTGAGAAGCAAACAAAAAACGAAAGTCCAAGTGCTGCCCAAGATCAACGGCAACAATGATCATAAAAAATCTTTCTCCAAATACAGATCCATGGAAACAATTGAAAAGTACTTTTGGACAGTGTTTTCCTTTTCAGTAACGGGGCGGGGTGGGGGAGCCCGCGTTCTGGCGGTCTGGCACAGGAAAGCTTTGGCTCCCAGAAGACACAGCCACAACTCTCTCACCTCTCCCGATATCGCCCAATGGAATCGCACTACAAACAAAACTCTTCTCGAGATGATCATTAATTTGATGGCTGTGCGAGCCCATTTGAAACGTAACCCCTAGGAAATTACTCCTCATCCGGTAATTATTGGTTTTGGGTATGTCTGTCTGTCTGTCTGTCTAACTGCTTCAAGTCTTGATAGATCGATCGATAGACAGATCTTCGGCTCTTCAATGTTTTTCGGATGTAGCCAGCGTCTTCAGACGGCTCCCGGTCCCAAATTGCTCTGTGCCGGCTTCCCCCTGACGAATGCCTATTGTATATGGGCGTCAAAATGATGATTCAGTTGGTTGATGATCCAGCAGGGTGCTAGCCCCTGGCCCTAACTTGAACCCGCAATCCTCTCTAAGCCCTACGAAAGCCCCAACATTCTCCCTTTCCCATCATCCCAGTCCCTTTCCAAAGATTCAACAATTTATGGTCTTTGGCCTTTCGGACTCCATTGGCAAGCGGTGGGACTCGCCGCCACCACAAGAAAAGCGAAGGTATTTGTGGATTGAAAAAAAAGAGAGAAGTCATATTTTAATTTCCAGGCCAGCATTTATCAACAAAAAATATTATGAATTTTCCCCCTTTTTTTGCGCGTCTCTCTCCGCATCTTTCATCTTCTAAATGAGGTGTTTAGTTTCGCTTTCTAATTAATTGCATTAGCCCCGGCGCGACGCCTACACAAAGCGTTTTCGATGCAAGAGCGTTTTCCCTTTTTAATTTTCGCCAATTAAACGGACGCCCCACAATCAAACCTTGATTACCAGCGAAAAAATACAACAAAATATATATAAAAAGGCCATAAAAGAAAATAAAATAAATAATCAATGATGACGGAACTCAAGCGGTAATACCACGGGGTAAAAATTCTGTGAAAGGTGCAAAACTTTGATGGAGTGCGGGGCCTAGCAAACAGTAAAAATGGGAAAAAAGCCCACCTAATGAAGACGAAAGTCGTTGCGCAAATGGAATTAAATTAAAATGGCATCAAAATGAAATAATAGTGCAATTAGCCCGAAGCACAGGCTGGCCAAAGACCATCGACCACCAACAAAGCCATCGCCAAAGAAATGCCAAAAGGGAGACGTATTTCATTGGCCGCTCTGCGAATGCTCTCTCGATGTGAAGGAGAGTGGCAGAATATTCCAATACATGAAGGGAGATTTATGCACAGGCTTCTGGCAGTCGGAAAGAAATCATAAATGGAACCAATGAGTAACCAAAAATAAGTATACGGCCTTTTAGAGGTATCAGACTCGGAAATCATGCAGTTCCGAAGGAGGTTGGGATAGATTGTGATTCAATTCCAGAAGAATCACAGATAAAAGGTCTCTCCATCACAGAGACTAGAGTGTTAGATGTTCGGGTTTCTCCTCCTCTTTTGCAACTATCGTATCTAGCAAGCCCCCTATCATAACGAAGGCACTTCGCCTGACCCGCAAACAACAGCGTGCCAAAAAGTTTCGCCCATTTCTCTAATCGCTGACTTGTCTGCGACTTTATTGAATAACATTTGCGTAATTAAATGTGTGCGAAAAGAAACCGAAATTAAATCATAGGTGTACCCTGGGCTTGCCTTCGAGCGGTGAGTGGAGGAGCCGGCGACGACGACGCCGACCCTTCTTTAGGGGCCGTTGACACGCGCTAATTGAAAGCGCAAGTTGTCATCCAGCGATTTGTTGACCGTTTTTCGGGGTCCACTGGGGGAGCCGCTCCTGCTGATCGCTAACGTGTCTTACATTTGCCCAACACACTCAATGCCTGGTAGTGTGTGAGTGTGTGAGTGTCATTTGTACTTGCTGCTGTTCGCCGCTGCTCACTTTCATTTGTTATGCTGAAATTTCTTTTCTTTGCTGTGTTCGCCGGGGTCTTGTGGCTGTTAGTGGGCAAACATGGCCGGCGACTTGCTAAAAGTGAAATTATTGCCTTTTCAATTAGTCACAGATCCCGAAATACCCAACGATCAGTGCAACATCCGACGCTGGGAGGCCCGAAAAAGGAAAGTACCTTCAACCCAGCCCCAACCGATGATTGGACCCTGTCAAGGCGGCCTGTGCTTGTGCTGGGCTCAATAAATCATCGATTCGGGTCGACGCCTCATTTTGATTAATTAGGTCTTAATCCAACAGCGATGCCCAACGATCACAGACAGACCGGAGACTGAAGACTGAAGACCGAAGACCATTGACCATCGAGCACCTCACAACAGGCCGCCTTTATAGACCTGATGGCTTTCGCTTTCAATCGCCGGCGCTGAAAACAAATTAATGGCAGCTAATAAGCTGTAAACCAAAAGCAAATTGGCAATACGGTAGGCGTTGACAAGCGTTTGGGTCTGGCCCTAGGCCGCCCCCCCAGATCCATACGTCCGCTGAAGCCTTCACATTTTGATCGTTTCTTGGCAGCTCTTGGGAACTCGATTTCTCACACTTTGCCGATCAATCCGATAATCGATTGGTTCAGCGCCAGCCGCCCTCCTGCTGGTAGATATTTTAATAGGTTATCATCGGAAGATATGCAAAAACCGAAATCAAGTGCCAGGGCAATTAGATGGAGAAGTTTTTGTTGATTGGATATTTTTTCGCATGGTTAGACCCTCGGGACTGTCGGACTGTGTTATATAACCCCGCCCCCCGTCCCCTGAAGCTAACCAGATTGTCGGCGGCGGCATCGTAAACAGATATCGTCGGAGAATGAATGGTTTTGAATATTTCATCATTTGCGCGGATCGTTTGCAGAGCTCTGGCCGTTTGTTTAAAGTTCGACTCGAGTCTTTGTTATTCTTTGTTTTGGCACCTTCTTTTGCGATATTTATTGCTTGGAGCTGGGGCTAGGACTTGGACTGGGGTCTGCTGTGCCCCGACGAATGGAGTGAAAGTGTTGGACGATGGTCGTCATCGTCGCCTAGGAGGGCCTTTGTTTTAGATATCTTACCGTTGATTATGCTAAAATCATTTAAAATCGTTCATAATACACGGCATTCGTGAGTCCGATATTCCAGAGAGTGTCGTAATATCCATTTGAATTAATCATGGCCAAGACATTCTCTTCTTCCCCATGAGAAAGCCATCGCATTCAACCCCAACTGGTTCTCGACAAGACGCCGCCACCCACGCCCACGTGCCCGGAATGCCCGATCGTAGCTCTCGAAACGTTTTCCATTTCAATGGCCTGACCACAAGAAAATAAACAAAAAAGTTTGCATACAAAAAACTGAAAAAAAAGTACAGAAAAGTGTACAGAAAAAACATTAAAAACAAAAAAGAAAAAAAAAAACTACTAAGAGCGACAACAATAACGAAAGTGAAATTCTACAGACAGAAAAAAAAAGATCGTGATGGTGGAGCCGTGTCCACGCTTGGCCAGCCAAGTGCCAGCCTTTGCTCGAGTGGTGGACCGACCATTATAATAGCCCGGGCCTATAGCCAGGCCCAGCCACGACCAGCCACGACCAGCGCCGGATTTTCCAGCTGTGTTGTACGAGTACATGTGTTGACAAAGGCCGCGCCGAGTGAAATTTGGGTCAAGGAAATGCCAAACGACAGGTTGGGCCTCCTGCCACATGGGCAGATCACCGTTATTAGCAGTTAAGTTTTGCCGGTAATTTTGCGAAGCGATAATTGGCATTCTCAGGCTCCCGCTCAGGCTCACGCTCAGGCTCGGGGGCCGATAACCCTGCTGCAGATTCACATATCGGTCAGGCGAAAGCTCTGGCCATCTCTTCCGAGGTGCGATAACAGCGAGCGACACTGTTAGCGCTCTGTAAGCGGAGCGCTCTTAACCGCAAGGCCGCGCTGTAAACCGTTTCAGTTGAGTTCGAAACGCGCACGCGTGCAGACGAGAGAGCGAGACCTGGGCAAAGAAAGAAAGCAAGCAAGCAAGCGATGAAAACAGGAATCGGTAGCACCAGCAGCAGCACCATCAGCCGTTAAAGAAGCAGACGCCGAATTAGAAATGTTTACCATTTAAGCGTCGCTTAATAGAAATACTCTCACGTACGAGCCGCTCTCTCAGTCTTACCCAGTCTCTCGCGATCGTTCGCTCTTTCTCTCTGCTCTGCTCTGCTCTGCTCTGCGGCTGAGTTAAAGTGAAAGTTTTCCACACAAAAGTGGCGAAGGTCCGTTATCTTGGCCGCTGCACGGCGACGGCCGCACTAACTCCCAATCAGACACACGCGGAGCGTTCAGTTGACCGGACGCACACGGCTGGCCATGGTCGAGAAACTGCTGTGAAAGAGATACGACACTCCCCCCCAAAAGAAGAGACTATACCGTCGCGTTGTGTGTGTGCTTCAGCTCTGGGTTTTCGTTTCGGCTCGAGCAACTGTAAATTCGCCAACGAAAGCTTTATTTGTTCTAGCAAAGTGCGGTCAAATCACATATTCGTAAAGTTCTCGATTCCCGAATCGCGAATCGGTTCGGAAAACGCGTTCGTTGCCTAAGTCGTTTGGCTTGGCTTAGCGGTTCATTGAGGGCGCGCTGTTACGACACGACACCCTTGTGTGTGTGCGTGTGTGTGTTTTTCGCACTCCCATTTCGAAATCAGAGTCCGAATCCGAGCGAATACTATAATAAGAATAAGCCAGAAACGGTCTGGGCCAGAACTCCCCGCCAGTGTCCAGCCAGCGAGCCAGCAACCAGTGAGCCACCAACAAACATGTTTAAGTGGGTTACGCCGGCCTCAGCGGCGACATTGTCCCGCACAACAACAGCAGCAGCGTCAACCAGAACAGCGTCAACCGCAACTACAAGAACAACAAGACCACAACTACTTTCCATCGCTTTAACAAGTTTAATAATAATAGTCGCATCATCTGTGCCGACAACAAGTGGATTTAGATCAATTGAAACGAATGGCGGCGGTAAGTGACAGACAATTTAGTTTATTGAATGGAATGGAATCGAATCGAATCGACTGTCATCGAAAGAAAGAAAGTTAAGCACACAATAAAAATGTAGAATTATGGCAAAAGAAAATCAATTTGCCAAATTGCAAGCTCATGTCGCCGCTGTGCCACTGGTTGCCACTGACAAATCGAATCGTGTCAGTGGCTTCCACATCACTCCATTGAGTGAAAGCCTGGCCCCGGTCTTGGCCCCGGTCTCGGCCTGGTCGAGTTGACAATGCGCCCAACAACATAAACTATAGTATGCCTTTGTGCCAATAAATGAATCAGAAAAACTTTGGCACAGAAAACTCTTTTGCTCAGTGGAAGTGCGCTTTCCACACTCCACGCACTTGGTTCCACAATTATTTGGTTCGTTTTATGCTACATTACGGCCACAAAGCAGCCCCAACCGAGGCACAAAAGACCTACAGATGAGCCCCACACCGCCCTCTGCTCATATAGACAGACTGGCGGACAGACTGGCGGACAGGCCGGCGGACAGACAGAGACATCGACTTTCCTTATGACAGTTTTTAGTGTTTGTTTGTTTGCTCTTCAGCTGCTCTTCGTGTTAATTGCTCAAGTCATTTTGTCGATTTAAAAAGTGAAACAAATTTCTAGAGTGTCAGGCTATTAGCTTAAATCGAAGCCACTGGCACAGACCCAACCCAAACAGAAGTGGATTGAGCTCAAAGACTTTGCAAACACAAGAAGCACTTCTCTTACACTCAACCAGAAACAAATGAAATCTTTGAGCACTCTGGCTGTCTTGTACGTAAAATTTCACACAGCAATACCATTTTTTGTACATCATATAATGTTTTGTAAGATCAAGAAATGATGGCCCATAAGAGAATCTTTACGAAGTGAAATCAAAGCAGTATGCCTGCAGTCATTATGCCATCCAATGGAACTTGTATGATACAGGTGGCAAATAGGAAAGGAGTTGAGGAGTGTCTCCCAGTTTGGATTTGGCTTTCGCTGAATTGCTCTTTCCAAAAGTAGATAAAGTAAATAATGATTATTCATATGAAATAGCTGCACTCCAATCCCGATTCTTTGACCAGACTCTACTCGTAGTTCTGTTCCTTCTATGGACATGGGAACTTCTGTATAGAATGATCCAAGCATTTTCCGATCCATGACTGTAGTTCATTATCTCTCTGCAAAAAAAAAAGTCAAGAAAAGAAAATCAATGCTTCCGTTTGCCACATCCACATCCCAGAACTCTGCTGCGTCAGTTTGGTGAGGAAGTGAGGCGAATGGCAATCATCAGAGATACAGATGTGCAGATACATCGCGTAGATCGCACGGTGCACAACAATCGCAAAACAATTTTCAATTTCTATTTGAAGCCAGGCTGGAAAGCAGTTGGATCGATAAAAGAAAACGCGTGCGAAATGAAAATGTCTTGGCCAGCAGCCAGCAGCCGACAGCCGACAGCCAAAGCCGCAGCAACAGTCACAGATTCTGATTGAAGCGTGTGCCAGTTTGTGGCTGGTGCTGCGGTTTCTGCCGCACTTGTCGGCACTGCCTGGAGTTGACTTTGCGGTAGTTTGAGACTTGGCCTGGCCCGGACCGGATCGGCCCAAAGCAAGCCAAAGCGATCAGGCCTGGGGGAAGGAAGCTGCTGTGAATGGAAGAGTTGATGTTGCAGTGGCAGTGGCAGTCAGTGCTCGGAGATCAGTGCGATGGTTGGACAGTGTTCAGATAATTTCAGGAGCACGTTTTTACCGCTGTCCGATCATCGAGTTGGCCAATTGTTGTTCCACATAGACGATCTCTGCTTAAAAATCAATTCATATTTAATTGTGGAACCCAACACACACACTGGAATTCTGTGTTTATGCAAATTACGGATTCCATAATTTCACATTTTCCACATCTCTCTATTTCTCTCTCTCTCTCCCACATGCAATTAATGTGAAAGCGACATTTGGACTTTCTTCCGTGCTTTCGAGAGGGCTCTGTCCCCTCCCGTCGTGGAAATGTTTTTCCCACAGCCATTTTACACATCATAAAACTTAAGACAATCGCATTAAAACTGTGACAGATCACAGATCATGAGCATCGAGTGCCAAGAGCGCATTTCACCTTACATATGTACGGATGGATGTATGGATTGCGCTTCCTACACCCCCAGCCGCAGCCCCAGTCCCGGCCCCCAACGAAACTATTAGTGCATGTGAACAAAACAGAAACAGAAGTGGAAATAGAGGTAGAGGCAGAGGCAGAGGCAGAGGCGGGGGGGCGCTCTTTATACTCACACACTCACTCATTTGTTGTCTTCTGGTTTATCTTTTAAGCTCATCAGCATTGTTTCAAGTGCTACTACTCGTACTCGTACTCGTATTATTGCGGAGGGGGGCCCATGCCCATGGCTGATGCTTTGGCCACCGTTTGGCTATCGACACAGAGCAGTTACAAATTATCGGGTCCGTTGGCAGAGCTACGGAAAGACAGACAGTCGGACAGTCGGACAGTCGGATAGACTTCGAGTGCCGTGTTATGGATGCGTTGTCTAACAGGAAATACTCGGGCAGAGCAGACTTCAAATTTGTTTTGACATGTTTGGCGGTGAAAGTGAAATTCTCTCTCTCTGTCTCTCTCTCTGAGTTCCACAGACGATTGCCTCTGTGTGTGCTTCCGCCGCATGACAGCACAAATTCCTAGGATGGAAATCAAGAAAAGGCATTACTGTACTACTGGTCCATACATTCGTTACTGTCATTGCAGTTTCTGCAGGGATTTTCCCAGACCCTGCTTGGGTATCGATCTAAGTGCTTTTGCCAAAAAAAAAAATCCAAATGATGTCACTTATTGCGGCCAAGCACAACTTTCACTGTTCATTCACACCGTTTTATATGCCCCTTTCATCGCATTTGATATGATATTCAACAAATTGATTGCCAAAACATTTCCATTTTATGGGAACCCAATTTGATTTATCATCACAATCGATTGTGGGGAATTGGGGAGATACATAGATAGATTTCATATTGTGCCGAATTTTCCACAAATGGAATTTTACTTCTCTTCCCACATTGTTGCATTGCATTGTTGTCTGTGTGTGTGTGTCTATGGAAACGGATGCCCGGAGCATGACCTGGCAAAAAGTGACCACGGAAGAATAATAATGATGATGGTAATGGTAATGAAAACAAAACGAAATCGTTTTGTTCATAACACTAGAGAGTGGGGACCACAGAGACGGAGACGGCCAACAAATGAAACCTGCCTCGGTGCGACATCCAACATTGTACAAGTTTTGAGTATCCCATACCCCGTCGTAGAGCGCGGTCTCTGTTCTGTTTCCTAATGCCAGAGGACGGCCCGCCGCAGACAACCTGTTGGTGGCCGACACCGTGTGATTACAGCCACAGAGCCGTAGAGATGCCCACGTGAGAAATGGTCGATCATTGCTTCACTTAGCCTTAAACGGTATTCTTCTGATGCTTTTGCACGAGTCCATGTCCATCTCGACCACAATTGAGCACTTGGTTTAACAAACAAAGTGAGCAACTTGTAACTTGAGCCAAACCGCAGTCGGACTCAAGATTCAACAAAGTGGAACTTAATCATGTGCTGATTAATGTTTACGTACGGCTACCTACGAAACATTGAAAGAATGGAAGACTTCTACGGGGCAGGCCTCCTGCAAGCCAACCCCCGGCTCACTCGCTAGATAATAAAGAGATTTACTAATGTTTCAATCAATCAATATGTGGGAGTGTGGAAAACGCTTAGAGTCTTTGATCAATTGGTTTATTTTGGCCTACTATGAATTGCACCTATCCTAAAATCGTTACCGATTGGTTCGATGATATCTTATCCCTTGCTCATCTCTGATATCCGTCGGCTTGTGTTGAGTTCTGGTTTAGCCACGGGCGGCTGGTAAATTGTAGTTGCTATTAGAAATGGATGCGTAGAATACATACTTACGTATACGGTTTACCACCTCTAAATTCAGGTAAATACGAGTGTGTATGTCTGTCTGTATATAGTCTGTACGCTGGGGGCACTTGCACCATTCACTGTTAGCTTACCGGTCTTTTCGGTCGCACCAGTCGTTGTCGTCGTTGTCGTTGCCGCATTTTATTTGGGTCACTGTTACAATTTACACCGATGGTCGGGGACGGAGAGGGGAAGCCAGGTGTGGTGTAGATGCGATGACCAGTTGGAAGACGCTCACGCTGGGAGGCTGTGCCAAATTCGAGAGCGACACCCGATGCCGACGACCCACAAGTCGGAGCAGAGCAGAGCAGAGCAGATCAGAGCAAATCAATGGCAACCATAGACGTTCCAATTTTATGTAATTGTAATTCAAGGTGGGCTCACATCCCCAGTTCCCCAGTTACCCATCGCGGTCCCATCCCAAAGCTCCTTCCCAAGCTCGCGTGCAAATCGGTTGGAGTTGGTTATATAGTGCATGCCACAGTCCAATTCGCAGTGAGCCTAGTAGAGCATGCAGCGGGTTATGTTTATGCTGATGATGCCTCGAGCTTCCACATCTGTTGTTGTTGTTGTTGAACAATTCAATTACAATGTGATTAATAGAAATGTTTTGTTGCGGATCAGCTGTCATGTGGAGTGAATATGCCAACGCCATCGGAGACATCAAAAAAGCAAAAACTTATCTAAGCCTTCAAAGGTCAGCAAAGAGCGAGAAACTTTCCATTTCTCTCACGCAAAATGGGAAAACTTCTTGCGTGATGACACCGCAAAATGGCCCCATACAAACGCATGTACACATTTATTCGCACGTAAAGCCCATTAAAATAAACACAAAAAAAAACAAAATCTATTTTGTCCGAGAAACTGCACTCTCGCCATCCGATCCGACGATAATTAGTAGCCCAAATCAAGCGATTCATGAAAAGTAAACAGTTTTTCATGGCTTTTGTCTAGGAAAAGTGAAATTAGCCCGGGCTGAATGCAGAGAGGTGTTTTATGTTAATTCCATTGAAAAGTGACATTTGGTTAGTTTTTTCTTTGGCCATTAAGTGGCATATTTCTATGGTCAATAAGTCGTTAAGGCATTTTTTACCCATCAGACAGTAAGACAGTAAGTTTCTCTGATGAATTATTGGATGGGAACACCCCACCCCCACATCGAACTATTCGATTTCACTTGACCCAGTTCTGTGCCACGATCCTGCACCGGTTAATAATTCGTGTAAACGTTGCCCGATAACATTTAACACTTTCTCAACGCAATTAGACCAAGATTCATACGTTAAATGCCAAATTGACCAAGATCAGATCTCAGTAAATACACAACAACAACAGCAACAACAACAGTAACAACAACAACACGTGGTACTGTGCTGCCTGCTTCCTGTGGTCCGAAAGTTTAGGCTGTTCTGTTTTTTCTTTCTCTCTTTCAGTCTCTTTTTTTTGCCAGTCTTGGGCTAATTGATCGATAATAATTTTCCATTTTACCGTTGAAGCGCCTCGTTCGTTTACATTCTTGAAGTGCTTCGGCACGTCGAATGCTTCGCCAAGAAAACGAGTTCTACGAAATCTCAGAGCAGAGCAGATCGGATCGGATCGGATCGGAGCTCTCTTTTCTTCTTTTGTGGTCCAGGCTTCGGTCTTTTCTTCTCTTGCCTTGTCTCCGGTGTGTGTGTGTGTGTGTGTGTGTGTGTGTGTGTGTGTGGTTGTGCAGCAACATATTCATGATTTAATTAATTTCCATTCGGCTCTGTGCATAAATTTTTAGTGCACCCGAACAGGGAACGGACGACGGACTGCTCCGTTGGTCATGCCTCAGGGCACCGCCGGTTGTGACACACTGAGCAAGTGTCTCTTGCTCGCCTGATGCATGCAACAAATTTCGGCTATTGGGCCAATTTCCTTGCATGATTAATGACATTGCCACCAAGTCGGGTCGCTCTCCTCTCCCCTCTCCACTCTCCTCTCTTCTCTTGTTGCCCGGCGTTGGCGATGGGAAGACAAACTTGTTATCTCATTTTGCAGCTGCTTCCTTCATTCGCTTTTAAGCACCGAAAAAATGTCTTTAAGCGGCGCAAAATTATTCAGGCGTTTGACACACTTTCGTTCTCCCGGCCAAGAGCAATGTGTGTGTGTGTGTGTGTGTGTGACCGGCTCTCAGGTGTGGCAAACGAGGCATGCCATCGATGCTGTAACCTATTTTGCATGCATCGTTCGCGGTTATTACATTATTGCATTTCATGATGCACCAATTAGGGTCAGAGGCAGCATCCCAGGGATCGATTGCTCAGCATAAGAAGGCGTTAAGTAGTCTGTGGTTCCCGGCTGGCACGTACATTCCGTATCCACGGTGTAGCCAGGTGCGTGGGCCCCGCCCTCTATGGTTTTCGGGCATCGTGCCGGGATACCCATTAGCATTCTTTGCATATTTGAGTAGAGCTGAGTGTTTGCCCCTATATTCCCAGTAAGTGATGTTCTTTCTTATTTATACACTCAGAGAATAAATAGAAAAATAGTGAAATTAAATAAAATTCACTTTCATTTCAAGATAAAGGCATTAAAAAGTCTTTTGGTGCCACTTGATAATTAATAAAAATACTTTAAAATATACTACATTAAATTGGTAGGAAATATATTTAATATAAATATATAAAATATATATATTTTATTTTATTTTTATTTTATTTTTTAATATTTTCATATTAATGTTAAAATGTAAGTGAAAACATTTGCTTTTTACAATTTCCACTTCCACTTAAATCTATTAAAATTTCATTGCATTTTTCTCTGAGTGTACTTTTCAATTTTTTTCTTTTGCGAGTAGATCAAATAAACTATGCTAAACTGCATAATTATCGCTCTTTTATCGTGGCTGTGTTCACATCTATCCATCCCATCCTTCATTAAATCAGCGCTATAATTAAGTCTGCTCTGCGGCTGCGGCTGCGGCTCTGTTAGCTCTAACGGTGGCTCTCTTATGTCGTACTCGCTCTCTCTCTCTCTCTGTTATCTCTGTTAGTTACAGATCTCTCTGTTAATGGGTCTAGCTCGGAGAGCATTTGTTTGTGGACTCCGTCCCCGCCTGTGGCTGTTTCCCACGTCTCTTCTCTTCTGCCAGGCCCTCTCGCTCGGCCTTAACGATTTGCGGAAGAATACTTAAGAGCACTTGAGTGTCTAATCATAAAAATGCGAAATGTCTGCAAATAATAAAGCTGCAAGAAAGATGATTATTATTTTATTAGTAGACGCCGCGCGCGCCGTGGAGCAAACAAAAACCCACAAAAACGAAATCGTTTTGAGAGATGAATGAACAGCAGAGGAAAAGAAAAGAAAAAGCCAAAAAAGAAAGAAACGGAACAGAAACAGAAACACTATCACTTTTTCTCAATTATGCATGTACATATTTTGACTGTTATTCTAATGGAGGTTTTTGCACTACTTTTTGCCAGATAGTACCTCCACTTGTCTTTACTTTCACTCGAGTTCGGTACAACACGACACGATGCTACGATGGCGTTACGTGCCCCGCATATTCGGCATCCATGAGTCGGACCTCACCGGCTTCGAGACCTTCGAATGCCTCATAGTGTACGAGTAGGGCTGCTTCCTGCGATTTCGTTTTCGTTACCTGGTGATTTTCTTTTAATTAGCACAGAACTAATTGATGCTAAAGCCCCAGAACCTATCCCGCTATTGAGGACTTTGCTCCAGTTTAACGACCAAACATTGACACAGTCCGCGACGCGCATTGCGATTGGGGCCACAACAGCCGCAAGTGGAGCGTCCGCGAGGTGTTAATTTGTCAGCATAAACCCGTCACAAGTGGAGCACGGCTCGGCTGCTTTCCCACTTCTGCGTTTAATTGCTGTCAAAATCAATTTCGGCCCAAATGTCAAGAGCCAAGAGAATGGCCAGCTACGGCAAATACCCTTTACTTTGTCAGGGAAATACTACACCATATAGTTTATGGAAAGGATGATTATCGAACAACCCAAAGCGCTGCTTAAAGGGTATTCGAAGCTTCGACCTGCATTCTCCTGCACTCTCCAGCACTGGCGGACCTCTCGTCATTTGCCAAATGAGTTGGAAAAACTCTGAAGTGCATTGCACCGGCCCACACCTAGCACCTGGGCCTGGAATGAACTTTGACTGGCAAGTGGTTGGCTCTCGCGGTTTGGCTACCAGTTGGCACTCGTACTCGCCACTTGCTGCCAGCCACTGGAGTGCCAGCCACTTTCACTTGGCTGCGGCCCGTTCCGAGTGGAGCTTTCTGTGGTGATTGCTGGATTTCGGGTTGCTTCTGCAGTCCACAGAACAGGGAAAACGCTGCCTCGCTGTCTTGCTGTTAATTGAGTTTATTAGTTTTTGCTACCCGAGGCGGCTGTTGCCGCTTCGTCTTAATTAGCACCGAAAGAAGCAGTTATATACCTAGAAATATGCATGCTATAAACCAATAGAAAATACTTAAGATTGTCACTTTCATTGAGGCAACTGCACATTCGCAGCATTTTCACTATGGCCGCCAGTTATAATCCAATCAACTACAGTTGACTGGCCAGACCTGAGCTGAGTGACATCTTAATTAAGCTTTGGCCGGGGGCGAATGAAATTCGGCTTGAAGATTATTGGCAAAACACGAAATCTTGATATCATTCCATGAAACTGATAACATTTCTCTGTATTTCTGGATTCCTTAACTTAACTAATCCTAACCCTTTGGTGGCTCTTTGCAGCTGGACGCAAACTGTTTGGCGGCTACCGCATCACCCCCAAGCACTGCCGGGCCACGAAGACGCTGCCCAGCTCCGATCCCCGCGCGAATGGCCCCACAATCTGCATGTTCAATCACGAGTGCGCCCAACGGGGCGGCGAGGTGGTGGGTGCCTGCATGGATGGCTTCCTGTTCGGGGCCTGCTGCCAGATCCCACCCACTCACGAGCTGGCCAGCACTCTGATCAATGAGGCCCAGAACGCCTACTTCCAGCAGCACCAACAGCAGCAGCAGCACCAGCACCAGAAGTTGCAGCAGGCGGCGGAGTCCTCCTACGAGCAGCACCAGCAGACGCTGAACAGCGCTGAGCAGACGGCGCCGCAGCCCCCTCAGAATATCTACGATCAACAGAACCTGAACAAGGTCTACCAGCAGTTGAGCAGCAGCAGCGCCAGTCCCAGCAGCAGCAGCAGCAGCAGCAGCCCTCCCAGCAACAACTACAGCGTGGAGCAGGAGCAGGAGCCGGAGCCACAGCCCCAGCCCCAGCCAGAGCCAGAGCATCCCAAGAACGAGCTTGTGTATGGCAGCAGCACCTCCACAGAGGTATCCACACAGTCGCAGTCATCGTCCTCTAGCATTGAGTTCGAGCAGGAGCCACCTGCTCAGCAGTCGGCCAACGAGGTGATCATTCAAACTGATCTCAATGTGCAGAAGGTTCAGCAACAACAGCAGCAGCAGCAGACCATTCTGCCACCCACTGTCCATGTGCACAAGAACTCGGTGACCATCAACTCCCCCTCGTCGCCGCCGCAAAACGATGACTTTGTGATGCAGGTACTCAGCACCTTGCCCCCGGAGCATGCCGACGATCATCGCATCTTCTTCACCACTGAAGTGCCCATGAAGATAGCCAGCGGCTTGCAGGAGCAGACCAGCTCCGAGTCCAGTTCCTTCGAGGAGGCCCCGGCCCCTACGCCAGCCACGAAAAAACCCACAGAGAAGCCAAAGTCAAAGCCCAAGCCGAAGCCCGTGCCTCAGTTGGCGGAGACCATGAAGCGACCCATCCACCAGCAGCAACAACATCAGCTGCAGCAGCAGCAACAACAGCAGCAACATCAACTGCAGCAGCAGCATCAGCAGCAGCAACAGCAGCTGCAGCAGAAGCAGCAACAGCAACAACAGCAGCAGCAACATAAACATCAACAGCAACAACAGCAGCAGCAACAGCAGCAGCAGCAACAACAGCAGCAGCAACAACAGCAGCAGCAACAACAGCAGCAGCAGACAGCGAAACCTCAACCTCAGCCGAAGCCTACGAATGTCCACCATCACAATCATCTGATACTGGACGGAGGAGAGTTCACCCACAGCGACATCACCCATCCGGGAGCCGATGCCGATCTCGTCGAGGATCTGCAGTTCTCCACCGGCTACGGACCTCAGCCTGTATACGCGGATCCGCCACAGCAGGTGCAACAGCAGCAGCCGGCAGAACAGAGCTACATCTCCAAGCATCCAGCAGCAGGCACCACAGTTTCCTCGATCACCACCCACGTGGACTCCATCGAGTCGATAATCCTGCAACTGAACAACACCAGCCATGGACCCAGCTACAATGTCGTCAGCCAGCAGACGCCCTCGTATGTCTATGGAGGCCAGACTGCGGCTCAGAGCGAGGCTCCAGCAGAGGCGATCACTGCCCAACCACCGCCTCCCAGCTACTACCAGGAGAGCGCAGCCAGTGAGGCGGAGAAGGTCCAGGACTACGGCTACACGACCACAATCAACTACGATGCCATCTACGACAAGGTGTCCGAAGAGCAGGATGCATCCGCAGCAGCCAGCCAGTCGGCTGAGTCGCAAACAGCGCGTCCCGGCTACGGGGAGGACACCTCCGCCGTGTTCGAGGATCACACCATGCCCGCCAATGGCTACCACGATGCCTTGGCTGAGGCTGCTCCCCAGACCTCAGAGTTCAACAAAATGCCCGTGCCGGTCATGGGCGTTGCCTATCCCGTGGACATGTCCTACATGGAGGAAGAGGAGAACGAGGCAGCGGCAGCAGGCGGATACGGACAGCTGAGCAGCGGCTCCTACGAGGCGAACACCGAGTCCAACTACCAGAAGCTGTCCACTGTCCAAACGGAGCAGCCCCAGCCCGTCCCCACCTACGTGCGCCCCACGACCAATGCCAACAAGCCCAATCGTCCCGTTGCCTCGTACATCGGCATGGTGACGATGCAGAACTACAACCAGCAGCAGCAGCAGCAGCACCATCACCAACAGCCATCGGGAGGCGAACAATACCAATCCCAGCTGCCCGCGGAAGTGTCTGTGTCCTCGCACACCACAAAAGTGCAGGAGCAGTACGACGAGACCTCGCACGGCTATCAGCCGCAGACGACCACGCCTGGTTATGCCTCCACCACCCAACTGGCAGCCCAGCTGGCCTCCCTGCCGCAGCGTCCGCAGTACGACAGTGTCCAGGAAGATACTGCATCCTCGGAGCGTCCCGTGCTGATCACGGCCAGTCCCAGACCCCGGCCCAAGCCTAGCACAAAGCGGCCGGGCGTGAAGCGACCCATCAGCCAGGAGAACACCAAAAAGAAGCCACATCCCCAGGCCAGCAGCAGCTACGATGCTGGAGAGTCACCCATAACACACATCCAGATCAAGAAACCCTCGTCCAGCTACAACAAGGATCAGGAGACGCAACAGTCTGGCTATCCCAGACCGGCAGTCGGAGCGGTCTACGATCAGACCACCGCCTCGACGACAGTGACCAGCTACGATGAGCCGGCACGTCCGGGCATCAGCTATGATCAGCCAGATCCACCCTCGGCTCCAGCCTCCGGCTCCGGCTACGATCAGCCAGAGGCTCCAACCTCCAGCTACGGGCAGGGCCAACCAGCGGCTCCACTCGCACAATATGATCAACCACCGCCACAGCCTCAGCCGGAGCTGCAGCCATCCCTGAGCTACAATGAGCAGTCGTTGGCCAGTTCTCCGGGTCGCCAGCCCTCCACATCGAAGCCGATTGCCACCAGCTATGTGACCGGACCCAGCACTCCCCGTCCGCCTGCCACCGTGGACTACCACTACGACAACGTTCCGCCGCTGTTCATGGCCGACGACAAGTTGGACGCGTTCATCCAGAGCACGGCGGAGAATATTGTGGGTTCCACACCGGGCAACTATCAGCCGCCGCTGGTGGCAACTGCATCGACGCCAGCCTACGCACACCGACCCACAAGCAGCAGTGGCACCTACGGAGGCCACAAGAAGCCTGGTTTCGTCCAGATCAATGGCTCACCGAGACCGCCCCGTCCGACGGTGCTGATCACGCCCAAGCCCACGGCTATCAACAACCTGGCCTCCACCACGGGGGGCTCGTTTGTGTACAACCAGATAGTGACTCGACGACCAGGAGGTGCACCGGTTAGCTCCAACGACTTCGAGGATCCTGGCTACTTTGGCGGCAGCCCCGCGCACGTGTCCTTCACGCAGTCCTCAACGGAATCGTCCTACGCCGTGCCCTCCGACGACAAGCCCGCTTTCCCCGGATACTTCGGGCCAACGCCTTCGTATCCGGCCTTCTCGGTGCCCGGAGAGAAGGTGGGCCAGAATGTGATGGAGGAGACCTACACCTCGCCGAACGACTTTGTCAACTTCCCGCCGGTGCGCAATCCGAATCTGAACATGTCCGCCGCCTCCAGCGCCGTGACCAGTGACCTGGATCTCTCCACGCCCGCCTTCGTCGAGGATGTGGTGCTGAAGGACAAGATGCACACGCTGGTCCACAAGCTGGTGGCCTCGCTCCAGGGCAACTTTGAGGCTCTGGCCGACATGATTGACGAGCCCACGGGCAACAACTCTGCCGCCACGTATCAGGCGGGAGCTGGGGCTGGAGGAGCAACCACTGCCACCCGCAAGCCCACTCGAAAGCCCGTAAGAGTGGCCTCCACTGCCAAGCCCAAGGCCACCACCAAGAAGCCCGTGACTCGAGTCTCCACCAAAGCCCCCAACAAGAAGGCATCGGCTAGCAGCACCACCCGCAAGCCAGGCGGCACTCGGCGCACCACCCTGGCCCCCAAGACGACCGTCAGCACCCGGAAACCGGGCGCCTCGAAGAAGCCCACACGACGCGTGAGCAGCACCGTGAAGACGACGACCGTGAGCTCGGCCCGGCCCGCCGACGATGAGATCGTGGACGAGGAGGACGAGGAGGATGTCAATCCGAATCCCAGCGACAACGAAATCGATCAGGGATCGACGCTCAGCTCCTACGGCGGAACAAATGGCCGCAAGATCCGTAAGTGTTGAGTGAATGAAGCATGGACCCGAAACAACTGTCTCTTTCTCTCTCTCTTTCTTGTTTTCTCTCGCTCATGCCTATAACCAATCGCTTCCAATCCGAACCCATACACGATATTCCCGATCCTCCTCCCCCATGGCATTTACAATTCTTCCCAATTTTAGCGCGTCGCAAGAACAAAAGAAGAAACCCAAAACCCGCTTAGATCCCAAAAACCAAAACCCAAACCCCACCTAGTTCTATGCCCCCATCCGTTCCCGATCCATGTAATCGTCCTATATAGCAATACACGTCGTTCTATGCTTTCTCTTTAACACTCCATCTCTCAATCTGAATCACAATCCATCTCTCGATCGATCGCTCTCTCTCTCTCTCGCTGTCTGTCTTGCTCTGAACACTCCCCACTCCTAACCTCGCATTTCACTCCCCATCTACAGAATGCGGCGTCCGACCCCACGTCAAGTCCGGGCGCATTGTGGGCGGCAAGGGCTCATCCTTTGGCGCCTTCCCCTGGCAGGTGCTGGTCCGCGAGTCCACCTGGCTGGGCCTGTTCACAAAGAACAAGTGCGGCGGTGTCCTGATCAACAGTCGCTATGTCGTCACCGCTGCCCATTGTCAGCCTGGGTAAGTTTCCTCCCAAAATCTCCAGGCCCCCCGTCCATCCACCATCCATCCACCACCATCTCATTGCCTTACTTGATCTCTGCAGCTTTCTGGCCTCTTTGGTGGCCGTCATGGGCGAGTTCGATATCTCCGGCGATTTGGAGAGCAAACGTTCTGTTACCAAGAACGTGAAGCGCGTCATCGTCCACCGTCAATACGATCCGGCCACGTTCGAGAACGATTTGGCTCTCCTGGAGATGGACAGTCCTGTGCAGTTCGATACCCATATAGGTGAGTGGATCACAGCACACGCATTTCCATCCCTTCCAGCCCTTTGAACGTTTTCAACACCTATGTATCATTTTCCAGTTCCCATTTGTATGCCCAATGATGCGGCGGACTTCACTGGACGCATGGCCACCGTGACCGGCTGGGGGCGTCTCAAGTATGGCGGCGGTGTGCCCTCCGTCCTGCAGGAAGTGCAGGTGAGTGCTTTTTACCAAACCAGCCAATAAACCGTCCTTTGAATGCATCTTTTAATGACACGACAACAGGTGCCGGTTATCGAGAATAGCGTGTGCCAGGAGATGTTCCACACCGCTGGCCACAACAAGAAGATTCTCAACTCGTTCCTGTGCGCTGGCTATGCCAACGGCCAGAAGGACTCGTGCGAGGTGAGATATCAGGAGATTTGAGAGGGGGAGGACCATCAAGAGCGTGTGCTAAAACCTTTTTCTACTTTTGCTGACAGGGTGACAGTGGTGGTCCGTTGGTGTTGCAGCGTCCCGACGGGCGCTACGAGCTGGCCGGAACCGTTTCGCATGGCATCAAGTGTGCGGCGCCATACCTGCCCGGTGTCTACATGCGCACCACCTTCTACAAGCCCTGGTTGCGCAGCATAACAGGAGTCAAATAAGGTGTTGCCAGGGGAGCAGCAGTAGCAGCAGCAGCAGCAGCAACATTAAGGGAAAGCATCAGCAAGTGTAAATAGAAAGTAGAGTTTAAAGAGTTGCGGATAAAGGCGTGACCCAGACTGTTAAGCATCCACGTCGCATTTCCCATTCTCTCCTCCTTCTCCGTGTCCCTCCAAGCCCCCCCGCCCGCCCAAGCATCTATCCTCATTCCATTAGTTTAACGAAAGCGAAACGTTTAACGAAATACTCGACAGATATGTAGATTCAAAGATTCAGATACTTTGAGGAGCGTGTTGCCGGTTCTGTGCCTGTTCGAATACGCGTGCCTAACACTTGTAGAGTCTGAATGAGAATTACTCGTATATTTTAGTAGTTGCACGCTAAGAAGTACGCTAAGAAATATTTATTCTAGTTCTAAGCCTATTTATTTATTTATTTGTAAACCTATTATCGCTGCAGTTTGATTCAACTAAAAAAAATTGTTAATTTTCATAGGCAAATTGTTGTTATGTTCCAGCGAAAGCGAAAACGAAAGCGAAGAGAGAGCGAAAGAGCAAATGTTTTTAGTTCAATTGAATTTACTAATTTATCTAATTATACGATTAACATTTTATTTTTTTACGTTTTATGTTAATTGTTAAGCGAACGAACAAAGCGATGCGAAAAGAACACCCACAAAACCCAATAAACAACAAATAATTATTAGTAGAAATATTTCTGCAGTTGAAGTTACGTGTCCTCGAAATCCCCAAGTAATCTTCTTTTCTACTTTGCACTCCCCCTCGGTTCCAATAAAAATCCAGCAGCAAATCCAAAAGCATCCACTGTCAATAGAAAGGGGGGGGCAGAGGGTGGATGGCCGGATGGCCGGATGCCTGAGTCTGCTGCAATTTATGTCAGTCCGAAGCCCCTGGAAACTCATTTTCATACCGTCCAAGGCAGCACAGCATCCATTGGAAGTGCCACCTGCAACCGCTCGCCTGTCAGCTTGGACTCCCACGCGTGCAGTGCCATTTGTTGTCCAAAGCCAGCTAAGAAGGAACTCACCAACTGTCACAAGCATACTTCGGGAAACTAAATATTTAAATAGATTTTGTAAATAAATCCCCCTCGCAAATCCCTCGCGATTGGAACATCATTATAACCAGAACTAACCAAAAAGTTTCGATATATAGAGACTGAGTACCAGATATCTTAGCGTCGCGGCACGTGTGCCCACCAAAAAAAGAAAAGCTCGAAATATAAGTAGAAAAAAATCAGTCAAATCAAAGTCCAACCAGGCAGATCTGAAATAAAACTATCCAGTAATATCTTGAAGCTTTTAGTATGAAAAAATATTTATTCTGTCTCTGAATAAATTATCGTTCCCCTGCCGCATCTTTGTGGATAGTCAGAAATGCGCTAAGTGATTGGGCTGTTACTTCTCATTTAAAAATGTTTTTCTTCGAAGGGCACCACCAACAGGAGGATGGTGGAGAGGACGAACATAATCATTATTCTAATGCACACAATGTGCGGAAGGTCGTACGGCCCCGGCAGGCACTTTTCATCTGATTTAACCGCAAAAATGTGGGTTTTCTTCGGTGAACAATTTTTGCTGCAGGAAAGGCAGGAAAGGTCCTTGTGTGGCAACATTTACATGCTCGTTAAATTTACAAGGATGCAAGGATAGCAGTTGCCAAAATTGGTTCAGTGACGCCGGTCAGGGATTGCTGGTAAATCAGTTTCAAAAAATACACCCATTCACAGATACATTCAGCCTGTATTCCCCACAAAAGATGCATTCATCGTCTCCATTGATATTGATTCCTAGGACTTATCCACACACACACACACACACACCCACACACACACATACGGCGTCAGAGCTTTGGATCTGCCACAAAAAACAAACACATTTAATTCATAAATTCCAAGGAAAGCTTGTCGGATAGAAAGCTTTTCCGCGGCAGCCAGCCGACAGGTGTTGCCTTCGCCGTTGCCGTTCGCAGGCATTCAGTTAGTCGCCGAAAGGACGAGCAGCCAGCAGGTATGTGCATTTTCCTCTAATCCCGGCTGCGAGTGTTCCAAGTGAAGCGCCTCCTCGACACGTGTGTAAGGTCGGTGTTCTACAAATTTAATATTTCAATAGGTGAAAGGTGCGGCTGTTGATGCAAATAATAGAAATGGAAATACATTTAAATCCAAAATACCCTCTTCCCAGTGTTTCAGGGTATGTGTGTGTGTGTGAGTGTTGGGTGTTAAAATTAACAGTGACCTTTGACAGTGTGAAAGTAGATAGCTGAACTGTTTCGGATATGTAATTAGGGACGGGAGATTGGGCTACAGAACTGTTGAAATTATGTCCATTACACGACCCAATTGGATCACATTTCACCAGGAAACGGAGAACAGATTGTGGCTGAAATAATCATTCATGAAAGGCTCGTACTTGTGTAACCTGATCAGACAACTTATACGCATTGTACCGTACCTTTTGAAATGTGAATAAGTAGAGTAGCAAAGTTGTTTTGTAATTTTTCAACTGACAATTATTGGTGTGCATTCATATATGCATGTTTTTTACATAGCTTATGGGATTGGAAACTATTGGTCGTGGTCGTGGGACCCCCGTAGACTGAGAGCGGACGTGGTCTTTTCACCTATGCGTCGTCTGTTTGTCAATGCCTTGTGCAGCTGAGTCGGTCCCAAAATCCAAGAACAGTAAATACAGTCTGGCGACGCGCAGAAGTCGGTACCAAGAAAGCAAAAACAAAACATGTTGCTGAGACATGACACAGTAAATTTGTGCCCCATTCCCTTGCTCTAAAGGGTATGCCCAATAATACAATAATTAATTACATGTCTTGGGCATGACGAGGAATATTTTCTCCATTGACGAACAGAGGAAGCCATATAGGTAGCGAGACGAAGGATAGCCCGTAGCACGATTCATGAAACGGAAAATTGAAATGGAATCTTGGTATTTTATTTAGCTGAAAAGAAACTTTTCTTAGCACTGGCTCTCTTCTTTCCATGATTCCCCATGATTCGATTCGATTCAAACTTCATTCTTTCGCAAAAGTTCATATGAAGTTCTCGTTGCCGACCAAGAGTTTTCCACACCTGTAGTAGAATGGAACAACTTTTGACACCTTCCAAGCACATCAGAACTTGACCCATAACCCATCTTTATTGGCAAACTTGTTTCGATTCTTTAAAGTATGTCATAGGAAACTTGATAATTGCACAACTTTAAGGCAGCCCCAGAGCAATTAGCCATCTTCCGTTTCCAAGCAACCGGAAAGGGGAGCTCGCTACAAAAGGGTGGTGACGTTGTAATGGCAGTTTGCGATAAAGACCGTCAGATGCGTCAGGCAACACTTTGGTTAATTAAGGAACGGGATACCTGAATAATGACCACAATTAAGGCTTATCTTCTAGCAGGCTAATGGCGCAATAGATCGATTACAATTGCTCGCCAGGCAACCAACAGCTCGCACCTTTCAAAGGTGAAAGGCAATTAGCTGAGATTTGATAACCAGTCATGGATGGTTGATTGTAATTAGCAGGCCCGCTGAGTGACCCACTGAAAGACGGACCGAAGGAAGGACAGAACTCGAGCCCAGTATCCAAAGAACAGTCCCGCAAAGTTTGACAGGAAGTTTGACAAGCCCAGGTCGACAAAAGTGGAAAAAAGTAATTAATGAAATGCTAAAAGCAGACCAGAAAGGATTTGCCCTTCTGTCCCTCTTCCTGGTCAGGGCCAGGGAATGGGGGCGTACCCATTTATGAAATTGCACTCCCACGAACATCTGTCCATATTATTTCCCCAACGACAAGCTGGGAAATGTTTGCATTTGCCTTGGACTCGGGCATTAAAGGTGACGTGGAATAGTATGTTAAGAGACCTATATTTAAGGTCTGCTTTTTGGCTTATTTATTTATGAAAGAGCGGCTACAACTGTTGTCCCTTGGCCACATTCAGACGGCTCAAGGCCTAGTCAAGGCCACATTGAATTCGTACACTCCAAATGACCCCAAAAAGTAGGCAACCTTTAAATTCATACAAATTTTACGCATAAAATATTTCATATTTTTGTTTAATTACCCCCACCTGGGGGACTCGATTCTATAACATTCTAATAAACTCATGACGCACAAGAAAATTATTATTATTTGAGATTTTTAATTTCCTCGGGCCGTCACTGGCCATCCCAAAGATTTTGTTGCTTTCTGGCGAGTTTCCACCCACCTCGGCTTTGCCTTTATTTCCAAGCAGCGAAATGAGAAAATGGCCAAATTATTAGACCTGTCCCAATTTCAGTCATTTGAATCAAAGGTAGTAAGAACTTTGATGTTACGCTGAACGGTCTTGAGAAGCTCTTGAGGCTCTCAAGGACTCTTCACAAAAATGTTATTCGAGTTGAAGCTTATTTTGAGATTTTAGGTTGCAGGCCACAGAGCCTATGCATGATTAATAAATAACAAGATGTCCTGGGGGAGTTTGGGGCTTAATTGGAACTCTTTCAATTGCCGCTCAGAATTTCGAAGTGGGCGGCATTGTCGGGAGTTGATGAATGAACGGGTGTTAACCGAGCAACAAGCGATTTGCCACACCTACGCATTCATACACACAAACGAATGTATACATACGAGAATATAGAGTCGGGTATATTACGATTTATGTGCACCTTTCATCCGGCAATAAAAACGGAGCTCAGGGCGGGAATGGGTCTCTGGGAATGCGTTACACATAAATTAAGTCACAGCCGGTAATAACACTAAAAGCGAGCCGACAATTTTAATGAGCTGCATGACAGGAGGTGGCACAGATATTGCCTGTGGCAGGCGGCGCATGTTGAATCCAGGTCCCGATGGTGGCCTTACGTATATATGCGACAAGCCTGATTGAAGCCAATTTCGGTAGCAAATGTGCGTGCATAGCGTAAATTTAAATCAAATTGTATATCTCCACAGGTCAGCAGCAACAGCAATTCTGACTTGGACAATGATGTACTAACGTGGCCAAAATGGCCAAAATGAGAAACATTCCGCTGAGGGCAGCCCTTCTGCTGCTCCTCGGCATGGCCATGCATCTACACCCCTCGGTCGCCTCGTCCGCGTTCGCTTCCGGCACGGCCTGGCAGCGCACCCTCTTCGGTCGCGATTCGACTCGCAATTTGATGCGGCGCAGCCCCCCCTCCGTGCTGGGGGCAGGAGATGGCAGTACCGCCTACGATGGAGGCCCCATGGGAGGTTACAAGGAATACAAGCACATCTATGGCCCCTATCCCAACGAGCAGGAGCCGCGGGAGGCGCATCCCCAACAGGTGAGTGTGGGCGGATGCCGCAGATTGCAGACAATTGAAGCGCTTGCTATGGATGGATTGTAAAATGTTTGTAAAACATTTAAATGTTTTATATGTGTAATTGACCATCGAATTTGTGGTTCAACTTTTTGCGTTCCATTCAACTTTCAGTCGAAACTTCCTGCTAAAATTCGTTATTTGTGTTTGAATTGCTTATTTGTATTGACCTTCCCTTGAACCTCTCGAGTTAAGTCGTCTGGAATATACATTTCCATATGTATATATACCCACACACTCAGAGTAAACTGGCAGAGCAAAAATGCACACCCATATTTTGATTAAATATTCGGTTTTTGAAATACAAACATGGCGAAAATATATACAATTCCCTCTGATTTCAACCTTTCAAACGGCGCATATTTAATCAAAATGTAGAACGCTTTAAAATAAATAAAATAATCTATTCAATTTGGAGGAACTATATCGAACTAAATATAAAGTAAATTTAATTAAAGTCGGAATATCTGGGACATTTTTGTATGGGTGCATAGATAGATTATTTTTGTTCTTATTCGCGAATTTTGTTGGCCACAGCATCAGAGTTCATATGTTTGGAGAACCTTTAAAAATAACTCAGCACTGTGCTATCAGATTTAACAATGAAAAACTGCAGCATGTATACGTAATTGAAACTGGTGGCAAGTGTTCTGTTATGTTGACCGCAATCAAGGGGAAAGTTCAAAGTTCAGGCCGATACTCAAATAAATCAACGGGTAGCGCGGCCATCTAGTGCGCCAGAACAAGTGACAATTTTATTGATACCAGGCGAAGGGTAGGGCCGGGCGTGAATGGGGGAAATATTACGCACACGCAACGTGTGACAGGGCAGACAAGTGCCCCGCTAATTGCCTTCCCCCTCCGAATCCCAAAGCTACGCCAGCAGACCGAGGTCTATGGGATTGTGGAGCCGCTGATTGAGGACACACCCTGCGCCGACCGCCCCTGCCTGGTCAGCGAGGACTGCTGCCCCACCGGGGTCTGCGTCAACACCAATGGCGGTAAGCGGAAGCATGTCCGCTTGTCCTCGCCTTTCATGTCCCTTTTGCTTTGTCTTGCAGAGGGCAAATGTGTCTATGTGTTTGGCCACCAGCGCGACATATGCCAGCGCCACGGGGACTGTGTCGCGGGCAGCGTCTGTATGCTGGTCGCCGAAGAGGGCGTCTGGCGGTGCGAGATCGAGTCGGAGTCCAGCGCTGCTCCGTCGCTTCTGGAGGAGATGATCGGGGTGAGGCGGAAGCAGCCGCTAGGCAGTGATTGCAATAGCAGCAGCGATTGCCAGATGGTCAAGTAAGTCCAGGAGAAATTGCCTCAGGGCTGGGTATCATCTGTCTTCTGTCCATCTTTCAGCGGGATGTGCTGCCAGCAGCAGCGACTGAATCATCGGGCTAGCATCAAGCGGATCTGCGGCTACTTCCGCGACGCCTTCGACTGTGTGGACATGGTTGGAGCAGAGGTGAGGGGTCGGCGGAGATCGCGTTAAGATTAATCCCCTTAAATATTTGCCAACCAACAGCACCCGCAGCATCGTCGCTATTAAAGATATCCGGCAGCTGGAAGTGAAGGTGCAGGCGCACAGGCACGGCATGGAAATATGAATTCAAATGACGAAGAAGACCCAGCTAAATGACGGAAAACACAACTACCGGCACGAGTATATGATGGATATACAATACACAAAGAAGTACCTATATATATACATTACTGAAACATATCAAATTTTTAAACAAATACATATACTATAATTCTGCAAGTTTGCGTAGTTTAGAGCAAAATTTCTGCGTATATGTATACATATAATAATGAATACTTATTTCCTTCGGTCACTTTGAAACTCGGGAACCATAATCCAGTTACTCGAAATGATTTTAGAAATCTAAATGTGTTTTTCGTAGACTCTCCAAAATATACTGACTGAGGCATTCAATGTTATTAACCGCAAAATTATTGCAATACAAGTTTACAATATTTAACCAGCAATTAATTATTAAATCGTTTCAAGTCTAAATGTAAATTGAACACAATAAATGAATAACCGCAAAGTCCATAAGCAAAGACGTGATAATTTTGTTTCCAATTCTGGCATGATATTTAAGGATTCCAGAACTGAACTGAAGACCAAATTAATATCCACAGGTAAGAAACATACGTACATATGTACGTGGAATATATATGGAATTGGAATTGTTTTAAATAATATTTATGAACAAATTGTCCATTTATTCTATCAAATGAAGCATGTCTTATTCCCGCCGTTCATTGAGCTCCTCCCAAATTGGGATTGTCAATACTAAACAGGGCTCCTGCCAATAGTTAAGACTATGGTATAACCTTAACTTGGAAGCTCGACCCATCGACCCGACTCGACTCAACGCGGAGCCACCATTAATTCAGGTTCCATGGAATCGCTGCAGGGCGACAATCCAGGCTGAAATTTAAATAAAATGTTTCCACCCGAGTGGCAAAGTATGAATAATGCAGGCAGCCCTCCACGAAATTCTCTCCTTTTCGTTCAGATGTTTTCATATGCAAATCACTCACAGAAACCGAGGGGCCCAAAGACCATACTGGGGAGCGCACATGGCAAAACACAAATAATAATAATACAATTAATTAAGTAAAAGTACTTTGGGGAAAAATTGCGAATGAGTGAAAAACGTTTGGCGTTCTTTTACAAATATTTTCAGATTGTTTTATTTTTGTATTTTATTTAAAGTGCCAGTAAAAACGCAGCTTAAAGCTAAAAGTTAGACTCTGTTTACACTTTCAACGCGTTTTTGTTTTTAACATTACACCCAAGTAAATCCATCCTCCTCTCTCCTCTCTTTCTATATCTCTCACGATCCAGTTCAAATACGATAAATACACATTACAAACGCTTCCGCTCATTCACTTATGGCTGAGACAATTTTCGATTACTTGAGCCTAATATAAAGTCGTATAACGTCAAGGTTCTCCGTTTTTACCAAAAATTAATGTTCTTTTTGCAAGAAAAATAGGATTTTTTTGTTAGTTTTATTTCTCCTTTTCGTTTCACATTTTTGCGCATGGTTCAAGTCTTTTGTGTAGGTTTCTTTTCGTTTTCGTTTTCAATGGAAATTGTTTTTGGTTTGGATCAAAGTTGGGGTGGAACGGTAGGAAGAACACCCTTCGGAGGTTGTCTATCTTATGGATTTGTCTCTTGAAAACAACTCTCGGCCTAAACTTAGCTTAGAACACAGTTAAACATTTAGCATTTAACACGATCCATTAAATTGTTTCTCGTTTTATGTGTTTGACTCGCACGCACAGACTCCACGGACTATTTACAGATTTTACAATTACAGGAATTACAGTTTTAAAAACTAAATATATGTATGCATTGTATTTTATAATGTATGCACGTGTTTTGTATAAAAGCTAGAAATATGTGGTTTTGTTTAGACCGGACTGGTTGGTTCGTACAGGAAATTAATATATGTATGTAGGAAATGAAATTTCGCAGGCCAAAAATGTAACAATAGTTTAATATATACGAGTAGTTTCTAAAATAGAATCATAATTCTAGTTACAATCTTGCATGCAAGATCCGTACAAATGCTTAGTGGTACATAGCTTACATCGAAATTATTTAATGTTTAAATTAATGATTACGTTAATCTCTCAGCTTGTGTTGGTGTCTGTGTGGATTGTGTGCGGGGGTTTCAGGAATCATTTCGTATATAGAAACTACTATTGCATTCTCGTAGAGGATTTGGTTATGGACTCTTTCAGCTTTATGGCATTTGATCGGGGAAATAAAACGCTCGGCTATGTTAAACATATTCTAGAACACGAAAAACTCTGTTCACAGACTTAGACTATGGGCTTAGGTGATTCCATGAAACATCGAGTTCCTTACAATTTGCAATTGAAGCAAAAATAGTTCACATTTAATATACAAATACGTATGATTATATACTTTTGTAATGTTCAATTAGTTTCGTTTACTTTGCTTTCTCTTTTTATGACTACAAAAAATAGGAAGAACAAGCTTTGGTTATAACAGAAAAAGAAATCAAATAGATTATAGTAAAACGGCTACGTTAATGGATCTGATGCAACTGGGATGTAGAGGTGATGTAACAAAACTAATGACCATGAGGCGTGAATGAAGAAGCAAACCATTGAAGTGGATTGCTCTGATCCAGGATTTTGGATACACCAAGCTATTTATGCATATGTATGTTTGTGTGATACATTTAGCTTGGGAGGCGCACACAGCAAAGCAATAGCTTTGGGGCGCGGCAGGCTAAGCGTGAGCAGGCGGCGCACCTTTACGATTTGTATGTTTAAATTTTACTTTTACTTGAAGATTTCCTGAGTTTGGTCAACGATTCTGTTGGTCTACGCCTAAATTGGTTGATTCCCCCGCCCCCCCATCGCTGTTCCTGTTATCGTTGTCGATTCCATATATATTTCATAATGTGAAGTCGAAAAGTGCATGCAGTTCGGATCTACTGTATTTTCTGTATTCAATTTACTTTGATAATATACGTAATTATGTATCTCTCACTGATTTCCTCTGCTGTTCAGTCTTGGCAAAGTCTTTTACTGTATTTTTTCGTTCGTTTGTTGTATCGTCTCGTTTTTGAAACAAGGTTTATAAAAAATATATTTACGATGTTGGTATCTTTTGTGGGTATAGTGGGTATGTATGTATATCTAGGCCCTAATTGGTGGCACTAATGGCAGTGCGGCAGTTTCCTCTGGAGCGCCGCTTTGCTCACGCAGCCCCAATATAAGTAAATCTCAGCGGAAATGTCAACGAAAGCTATGTACAATTGTCGGGTCGGTCGGGGATGGTGGGTGGGAAAACTCAAAACGGCAAAAAACAAAGCAAAGCAAAGCAATGAAATCCCGCAGGATCAATTAGCACTTAATATTTACAGCTTTCTTTGTATTTCTGTTCTCTTAACGGGTTGCTGGATCTGCTTCGCAGGCGCTGTCACGACATTTAAGGTCACGCGGGGCCAGGTTACAGGTTACTGCTGCATGGAGTAGACACACGTACACACACACATGCACACACACACACACACACTCGTATGTACAGACACTCTCTTTCCACTGGGCGGGCACTGAAGCTGCTGGAACTAGAGCCACAATCAGTTCTTGACCTTGTCCTCCACACTGATGCTGGCGAGGGTCTTCTTGATTCGCAGCGCAGTGAGACGCGCCACAGGATTCGGATACCAGCACTCCTTCATGACCTTGGCCATGTTGTGGAGCACATCGGAGGCGTGCCAACGATTCGGTATATTGGGGCGACTCTTCTCAATGCAAACGACCTGCATGGGGGTAAACATATTCGATTAATCTTTAATTCAAATATGTTAAAAAGAAATGGCGAGGTCACCTTCTTCATCTCCTCAATGCTGGGATCCGGCTGCACGGCATCATAGTACGGCAACTGGTACTCATCGTAGATCATACCCATGTTGCAGCGCCGTGCAATCTCCCAGAGGATCAGGCCAAAGGCATACACGTCCGCCCGCTTGTACGAGTCAAAGTGCTGGGCATTCATGCTTTCGTCCAGCACCTCCGGGGCCATGTAGCGCTTCGTTCCAACCCGATGTGTAGAAGGTATATCCACCGAATCGTCCTTCTCCACATGGCGCACCGCAAGTCCCAGGTCACCTATGGCGCAGCTTAGATTCGATTTGACCAGTATGTTCTTGGACTTGAGATCGCGATGGGCGATTGCGGGCTTGCCGCGGGTGCCCACAATGTCCATGTGCAGATGCGCCAAGCCAGTGGCGATACTTAGCGACATGTTCAGCATTGTGTTGGTGTCCACCGTGTGCGTAGTCAGATAGTCGAATAGCGATCCGTTCTCATGGTAGTCCGTGACTAGCCACAGCTGGGTCCAAGTGCCGTTGTCTGTGGGGGTAAATGTGGAAGGAGGATTAGCATTTCCCATGACTCTTGCTCAAAGGCTCACCCTTGTTGTCCGCTGCAATGAAGCCCAGAATGTTCTCGTGTCGGAGCATTACCGTCTGATAGATTTCGGCCTCGCGGAACCAAGAGCACTCCTCGCGACTGGAAAAGATCTTTACGGCCACATTCTCACCGCGCCAGCGACCACGCCAGACCTCTCCGAAGCGTCCCTTGCCAATCACGTGACACAGCTGCACCTGGCGTGCGATGGAGCGTTGTACCAAAAGCGGCAGACCAGCTGATGGAAGGTTCAAGATTCAAGAAATTAGTATGCAGCGCTATAGAGTATAGATTGCTATACTCTCGGAACTCACCCGAACCGGAACCAGATGTGGTCATCTCAATGATGTCGTGTATGGTGGTGTTGCCATTCAGTATGGGATCGTAGACGGAGTCCTCCTTGGCGAAGGGTCTGCCGCTGGCCAAGCGCTTGCGGCGCTGGCAGTAGTACCAGAAGGTCGTTCCCGTCACACAAATGATGAGGGTCGCACCCACAATGATCCCGACCAGTTCCCAGCTGTTGAGAGTGCGTTCCGGCATAAAATCTAATCGGAATCAAATGCAGTTGAGTGTTAGGGGAATCAGACGAAAGTACAGAGCGATAGGTGTGTGAAATCAATGAAAAATTAAATACGGATACGGATAGAATGCAGATTAAAGGGGGGGCATGCAAAAAGCCATTGACCGTTAGATGTGCATGATAAACGTAACAGCAAAACGGGGTGCAAAACGAAACGAAACAGAACGAAAGAAACCAAGCGGCAAGTCGAAGTGCGGGCATTGATTAGCGTAAATTTGTTAGTGATTAGTAGTAGAACTAATATTAGTCATACGATATACATACATAAATACCTGCACATGAATTTCACGGGTTATGTACAAACACCGTACTCTTTTCGGCGCAGTTTTAATATCTACTCCAAACACAAAAATTACACAAGTAAAATAGCGAAGATAACGCTTCGAATTTTCCGGCTTTCCACAGAAATGAATACAAAAGAGAATCAGTCTAAAGCCGAACCCGAAGCTGAACCCAAATCGAGATGTGAACTCTACAGACAAAAACGAGCACACAAGCCCCACCGAACATTCACAAAAGTGCGATGTAAATGAGCAAAATAAACAACGAAGAACGGAACGATATGATGAACGAGAAAAATAAGGCAATGGAAGTACATATTCGCCGTACTGAAATTTAAATACCCTTCGAGAAGTTGATCAAGATGGTACTACATTAATTGTACATGAAATTATTAAGAAAACTAATATTAATACATTTGTGTTGAGCCACTTTTGTTGGATTTATCGTTTATTACATTAATTAATATTTGTACCATTACAAAAGTCACAACTAAGGAACAACTTCTTTAAGGGTATGAATATAAAGACAGACAAAAAACTGCAGACGAGACAAAAATGCGGTCATTAATGAATGAAATGAGCGAGCTTTGACTGCGACTGCGACGGCGACGGCAACGACGACGCCGACTGCAACTGCAGCTTTGTCGGAGCTGCAATGCACATGAATGAATGAATGAGCAAACTGCATAAACGAAAAGAGAACACCTAGACAGGCGGTCGACACACTCACACACACACACGTAAACACCGACACAGGCACAGACAGTAGGTGGGTGGACGAGAAAGAGACGGGTAGATAAAGCTCGCAACTGCGACGACTTCTTTAAATTCTTCTTCTCCTGCTTTAACTTCTGATTCTCTGTACTTGCTTTTGCTGTTGGAGTACAGCCCTTGAGACATGTTTGTTCTTGTTGCAGTCTGCTTTTGCTTGCTTCCTTTTTTAATGCGTTTTGGCAAAGCACCGAAGAGAGGCTCAACGATTGAAAAAAATAGTTAATTCCACGAGATTGAAACACTATGCCACTATTACCGCAAATATACATAAATACATATGAACATACACACGTATCTTATAGGATCGACGGTTCTGCAAGGGTATGGAAAGCTTCGGCTAACGGCTTCACTTTTTGTTGAATGCGTTTTTAATAAGTCCATATGCACGATGGTGATTCAAAAGGTCAGCAGACAGCAGAACAAAACGTAGCAAAACATCGCGCAGACACAGTTTGACAGTTGAGAGGTCGCTGTTGAGGAAAATGATGGCGGGGTGGTGCAGTAGCCGAGGCCACAAAACAGGACAACAAAGTGATTTACATTTACATATACGAGTATGTATTTATGTGTATGCATATGTGTGGAGGCGAGGAAAGTCTACGAATGAACAAGGACGAACCATCTTCCCTCAAAAGACGAACAACACTGGGGGCATGTGCATGTGTGATTGATTGGTGGGGGGGTGGGAACTGGGCTGGCTGGGGTACAAGCAGCAGTGGGCTCTTGGAGCGTGTGTGTGCGTGTGCGTACGTGTTAGTCAGGTATACAAATGCGTGAGCGAGCGTATAGTTGTGGTCACAAAAATAGGAGTGCTGTAGCACTTATTTATTCTCTGTTTTAATGTACATATTTTTGAATAAACTCCCATTATTTTAACCACTACGGCCTCCATACATATTTACGCGTATATAGATACATATAGATATATATGTAGGTGTGTGTGTGTGTGTTCCTGGAAGCTTTCTTGTATGTAAGTGCGATACTTCTTTTTGATATGGAAACAAAACAACGCAATGATGTGGTGCAATGGAAAAGAGCGTGGTTGGGTGGGACTGCATTGATGGAGGATTCAAGACTGCATGGGCATGGACATGGGCATGGGCTGTTGGTGGCTGTTTGGGTGTTTGGTAATTCGGTGGACTGGTGGGTGTGTGGTGGCTGTGCAACTCTCACCTGGTATCGGCCCAGTGTAATTCGCACGCGTATTGCAATAATCATCGGGACAACATTGTGAGGAGACATTCGATGTTCGGAATTTACAGGTGGACGGATCTTGGGGTGGTAATTGGTCTGAGGGCAGGCATCTACATACATAATATTTAGTATTCTTGTAGTCATAGGCTTTAGTGTGTGGTTCTGCTTCAAGTTGTTGCGTTAGTACTTAAACTAATACTAGTAGGGCTTTTAGGGGTTAGCTTTGGATAGTTATAGATTAGAATAGTAAGTTTTTCTTGTTGCGGCTGTAGATGTTGCTTTGTGCAGTTGCGAAGCAGCTTTTGTTGTAGTTTTTGTTGCGTTTTTTTACCACTTACATACTAACTAAATTTTTGTAGCACCTGTTTTGTTTGTTTTGTTTAATTGCAGAGCATCGTTGTGTGCATCTAAAGGCGGAAGGGAGGGGGTTATTGTTATATACGCCAAGGGTAGGAGAGGGTTCGGGTTAGGTGTGGGGATACTCAGCGGCAGCGTCAGCGTCAGGCAGGGGGCTGTGTGTGCACTGTTTGGAGGGTGCACTGGCAAAAAGCAATATCGTTTTCGGTTCTCAAAACGCCAAGGAAAGAAAGGGGGGAAAAGCTAAGGGGAGGGGTGTTTAATCTATAACCAAACAGCGGGGGACCAATCGAAAATCACACGCCGGGGTCTACCCAATCAGCTCCATAAAAAGAACCTCCACTGTGGCCAAACAGTGTACAAAATACACACTCTGAGAACTGATTCAGATTCTTTGAATATTCAGCAAAATCATTTAATTAACATTTGGTAGAAGACCTGCTATCAAATCGATTCTCAATTGATTGTGCAGAAGAATATACGAAATTTAAGAACTAGGACCATAAGCAAATCAACTTCAATAGTTTCTAGAGTACAACAAGCTCTAAGCAGTAAAGATAAAGTTCTAAAAAAAAGTTCCGTCCATCTAGCACCAGCCGAAACTTAAACTTCCATGGGCAAACGGAGCTCCACTCGAAACGCCCGCTAACCAGTGTATTTAATACAGAACCTTATAAAATCCCTTCCTTTGCAAATAGCAAACAAAGAAGAATCCCCTGGAATAGCTGGAAAGTGAAATATCTACAAACTACAAACAAGATTCGAATTTGCATGCAAAAGTTAAGTGTAATTTATTAAGATAGGGTGTAAGCTCGATTCCGTATACGTATTGTATGTATATTGTGTGTGTGTTTAGACAAAGATAGAAGTAAGGAGATGGAGGGGGAGGGGGAGAGAGAGGGAGGCGGTAAAAACAATATGGGACCAGAAGGCCCGGAAAGCAAACAAGGTGCAAATGGAAATGGAAAATATTAATAAACCAAATTTCTGTGCAAACCCTAAAGGAAATTATAACAAAACCAAAATCATAATCATAATTATACTAGACCAAAACTAAAATAATTAGTTTTTCGGATTATTGGATTGGATTACATGTTGGATATTTGTTTTTGGTTGCTAGTGTGTTGCTGTTGCTTGTCTATTTGTTGCAGTGCATAATTAGGCAAGGAGTAAATAACAGAGCGAGAGCGAGAGCAAGAGCAAGGGAGAGAGAGACAGAGAGAGAGAGAGGGAGTGTGTGCGGTGGCTGTGCAAAAACTAAAGAGAGAAATTGTATTGTATTTATTGTTTGTTTTTGATTGATTGGTTTTTGTTTTGTTTTGTTTTTGTGGTTACTTTGATGTTGTTGTGGCTGTACCTGTTTCAAATATCCTCTTCATAATCTCATTCTTATTGCAGAAGTCTTCCCTACAACATTTTATCCTAAACGAATCATATTTGATGCGGCTGGTGAGGCACTCCAGCGGCTCCCGGTGCAGTTCGTATTTCAATTCGAGGCAACTAAAGTGTGCCAGTCGAGTGCCGTGGAGTACAGGTACAGGCACAGGCACAGGCAGAGGCACAGGTACACAGTTACAGGTACAGTTATCATAGAAGGAGCGAAAACGAGAGGCGAGCGAGGAGGCGAGGGGCAAACACATTCGACAACAGAGAGAACGGATAAAGAGAAGAGAGAGAGAGAAAATATAACAATTAAAACAAATTAGTATTGCTTGGCAATTTGTTGTCGTTGTCGTTGTTGTTGTTTTCTGTTTTCTGTTTTGTTTTTGCCGATGATGACGTAGCCCGCAGCTTCTTTTTTTTGTTGCGTTGCTGCTACTGCTGCTTCTGTATTACGTCGCTTGTTGCTAATGGAAATTTCAGTCTGGTTAGTAGCAATAAAAACATTATAATTATAAGCAAAAAAAACAATATATGAAACTCTAATTGCAGGCTGTTCTCCCATCGGCTTCTGTTTCTCTAGTTGCTTTTTTTATAGTGGGCTTTTTTGTATATTAGTAGTGCTCTGCATTTCGGGTTATGATCATTTCAGGAACTTGAACTCAACGAGCATTCGAGGCAAGAAAATACAGTCCAAAGAACGAACGAAAGAACGAACGATGGAACTCTTGAGCGGCGTGCGAGTCAGACAGAAAGAGAGACAGTGAGAGAGAGAGGGAGAGTAGGAGTCGGGCGGGGGGAGAGGGAGTTGGGCGGGAGAGAAACACGTGCAGACGCGCACGCACCTTCGAAGGTGGCCGATGGCTGCTGCCGCACGGCATCGTTGTCACCATCCTCCCATGTGGGCGTGGCCACCGCATAGTACTTGATGACGGGCCGCAGCTGCCGGTTGCAGAAGTCCCGATCGTTGCAACAGGCGTGTCCGCCCCTGCGGGCAGCCGGCCGAGCCGTGGGTCCGCCATGGCGACCCTCGTTGCACCAGATGAAGCGGCCTGGCGGAAAGCTCTGCGACATATTCAGGCATCTGGACCGAGTAAGGGTGTGTGGCAGCGATGCCGCTCGATTATACATATTCGATTCTCGGGTAGTGCAAGACCTACATATGATCTAACAAGTGGGGCCGGGCCAGGCCGAGCCGGACTGGGGCTGGCTGAGACTTACCGGAAACTGAAGATGATCTTGTTGTCCGCATTCTTCTCCACCGACGTGAAGCAGTAGCCGTCCGTCTCGCAGATCTGGTTCGTCTCCTTGCAGATGTCGCAGTGACATTTTACGGTTTCTAGCGGGAGAAAGAGCGACAGAGAACGGAATTAGCTACAAATAAGCGAGAAAGAATATACATATACTCTCTGGGAAATATAAACTAATGGGAAAATTAATGCTTAGCACATCATAAATCAAATGCTGTTCAATCGAAACTTCTTGACTGATGATAACCGCAGGGCGTACTGCCAATAACCATGCCCAGAGGACGGCTGGCGAAGCACACGCTAACGCACCGCAGAGGCAGAGGCAGAGGTAAAGCGCGATAAAACAAAAACAAAAGCATTTAGCATTTAGCATTAACAAAAGCAGACGATGAAAGGAAGACAAGTGTAAAGTGGAGGGCCAGACAGAAGCGACCAGTTTTTTGCCACTCCTCCCTGCTTGCTACCCGGGCCGGGGTTTTTTTTCTGCCGGTTCCGAGTCGAGTGCAGGCCGTTGCAAGTGCAACTGCATGCAATGCAGGCGGCAATGCACCCAGTGAATGCAGTAGATGGGGGTGTCTGGTTGCGGAATGCCGTGGGAGTGAGAGTGGGGCACGAGAGTTGTCTGGCTAGCGACTGCAGCTCATTGACACCGAGCGCTGACGTCACGAGGCCAGACGGAGCTGGAGACAGAGACAGGGACGGAGCTGGAGTTGGAGTTGGAGTTCGTAATGGTAATGTAGACGACCCAGACGGCCGGCGGGCTTTTCAGCTCCATTCAAAGTCTTTGAGGTGTTACAGTCACGCGAAGGCATGGCTGCTGCCTCTTCAACTGCTGCTCTCCATTCATTAAGCGCTTTCGTCTGGCCTGGCCATATCTGATCTGATCCCCTACTGCCTTTGGACTTACTGTCGTGCTTCTTGCTGCTCTGTTGCTGTTGCGGCACGTAGGGTGGCAACTGCGTGACGTGCGGCTGTGGGGCAGCGGCTGATCCATCGCCGTCTTGCGGCAGCAGCATAGCCACTGCACTGTTGTTGCTGTAGCCGTGGCTATTGCTATTGTTGAGGCTGCTTTTGTTATTGCTGTTGATGTTGCTGTCATGGCTCCTGTTATCAGCGGACAACGTCGTCGGCGATGGCGACGTCGATTTTGTTAGATAAGCCTGGCCAGCTGTTTCGTCTGCTTTCACCGTTGGCGCCCTTGTCGTCGTCGTTGCTGCTACTGCTGCTGCTTCTGGTGGTGGCTGCCACTTGCCTGCTTCGGGGGTGGTGGCCCCGATCGAGGAACTGGTATTCATGACCAATTCAATTGGGGTGGCTGCAAAGTGTGTCGGAAATTAGGTTAGTTTCGCACCTGAGGCAAGCGCACGAGGGCCGCCCCGAGCTCCATCCTCCCATCCCCACCGGAAACACGACTTACCGCTGCTGGAGCTGAGGAGCAGCAGAGCGCCCATGAGGAGCAGCCAGGGCAGGGAGAACATCGTGTCTTTGTATTGATTATAGACGGGGCAGGGGCTGGTTTTCGCTTCTTTTGTCGCTGCTTCCCCTGCGCCTATCACGCTGGGGGCTTTTCTTTTGTTTTCCGTACACACACACATGCACATAAAGAAGCGGGCGGGCACACACACACGCACACAAGTGCAAGTTCAAAGTCTGGACTGGATTGGATGCAATTTATTTGCTTCTTATTCCTCGTATGCCAGGAATACGTGGAGCGAGAGCGGGACCGATTGGGCCGTGCCCGTGCGAGTGGGGAGGGCCGGAGGAAGAAGTCCTCTGCAGACGGCCTCTAATTTCCCCTGTACTGCGCATTTATCGCGTAGGACTCGCACTGAGTACGTCCAAACAGGTTCACATTTTGCCGCTGCATGGCTTGGGGTGTTCCACTGATCAAAACACTGCGGCACTCGATGCAGTCTAATATTAAGCCAATTTCCACCCAATTGGAAGAAAAACTATATCACATTTCACGGACGAGGGCAATTTTCAGGCGTATTTTCATCACGTGATTTCCGCACTATCGCGCGTGGATTGACAACAATCTCTTATTCAAAATTGTGACCGGCACTTGTAAGCTTATTGTGCACTTAGCTGTTTGTTTTAATTGCAGTTATTTTTATGTTAAAATGCTGAATTTTGTGCAGCGAAAAATTCGCGTATATGCGTGCAGCAACAACAATTTTTGACACACGTTGAGTGTGACCGTAATATATAAATATACCGTAAATATACTGACGAATTGCTTCTTCCTCCTTCTGCTACTGCTGTGTCTGCTTCTCTGTTATTGGCCTCCACCGTGGCGCATTGTGTGCAGACGTTTTCGTGGCTGTCTTTATTTCGTTTTTGCGGAAATTTCCAACAAAGTACGCTAATGTTGTTTTAGTTGATAAAATTTATACCGCCCGACCTTCAGAAATATATCAAAATATACCGTCTCATTTAAAAAATATCCCGAAAATATACTGAGGAAGTTATAAGTTATAACTAATTTCCTCAGCCCTGCCCACATAGTTTTATTCTATTGATAAATACATTTTCTACAAGACTAACTACTTTTAAGTACTCCCATTTTTTTTGACTAAAACAAACAAAAATTAGATGGTAAATCCCAATAAGAATAATTATTAAATCTGGAGAAACATCGATTGCAACATCGATAAGAAAGCGATGTTTTTTCTGAAACATCGTTAGCACACTAATAGCCGTTTACACTGCGCTTACATGCGCAGACGCAGGGTGTTGCGTCTTGCGAATAGCTGCTTTGAGTGTTTGATCACGATCAACAAAATTATGGGAAACGACAATAAAATGAACAAAAGAGACTTGATGATTTATCATATTCAGCCATTTCTTTGCATAGCTTGTTGAAGTTCTTTCATGGACCCCCCTTGATATGTCTTTATGGCCTCATTCGCCGCATTAGCAAATTCTAGTGTCATAGCACCATAAGCAATGCGGCGAATGAACAATTTTCAGAGTACCATGTATGTATTAATTCAGTATGTTCCCAGTTGGCAGTTGGTATTTTTTAGCCCATATTCTTGACATCGCTTTCGCTTACGGTCACATTGCTTCGTGTATGTAAAATACAAATAAAGATTTAGTGCGAAATTGTTGTTGTTAGCTTAGTTTTTTAGCAGTTTTATTTTTGCAAATGCATTTGGTGTCTGCCCACTACACGTTGGCACTTTATGCTTAACTATATTAGGCGCGCGTCGATCGAATTGGTGCGTAATCATAATCATCAAGACATTGGGTGTGTATATGTATTGGTGTATTTCGGGCGTGTATGTGACGTGTTAGGCAAGAAGCACTGAAATTCCTCAAAACGCTTCTATGATATTGACCCAAGCCCAAACCTGAACCCAAACCCAAGCCGGCTTTAGCTGTACCTTCGACATTCTGATCTCTGTTAAATGCATCCAGTCAGACCCCTGCACACGCCTTGAGTTCTGCAATCGAGATAACTTTTTTTGTTTAATTTATGCTCACTTTATCTGCTCTGCTCTGCTTTGCTGTTTGTGCGCCCAAGCGGCCAATTGAATGAAGCTCTTCGCTGAACAGAACTGATAAATTCTGCTTTTGCCCCTGCCCCTTTCTCTCTCGCTCTCTCTCTGAGTTCGAGTTTAACGCTGGCTATGGTGTTGTCGCTGGCAGTTAAGCACACAACACAATGTAAGTTGAATTATTATGCAAAATAATGCTCCTACTTCCGTTGACGCATTGTGGTACATACTCGTGTCGTATCGTATGTACGTGTATGGATTGCGCCTCCTCGTGGCAACGTATTTATTTTTGATACGTGAACTCCCATCCAGCACTATCTGCAAACCAACTGACCCTGGCTCTGGCTCTATTCCAATAGACACTTATCTACTTATGTATATGTATATCACTTTACATTTATTCAATTTACAGATTGGCTAGGGTTTGATGGATGACACATCACCATGGGAAAGCTACTATCAAAAATTTTCGGCAACAAAGAGATGCGAATTCTCATGCTCGGGCTGGACGCGGCGGGCAAAACAAGTAAGCAGGCCGCTAGCCGGCGATCGACATTACAAGGTGCAAGAACTAATTTACTATCCAATTCTCGCAGCGATCCTGTACAGACTCAAACTAGGGCAATCGGTTACAACGATACCCACTGTGGGCTTCAATGTCGAAACTGTGACGTATCGGAATGTCAAGTTCAATGTGTGGGACGTTGGTGGGCAGGATAAAATTCGACCGCTCTGGAGGCACTACTACACAGGTAATCATTTATTCCGGGGCAAAAAAGCTGACAAAGTTCTGAATTGTACAAAATTAACAAACTGTTGGTCTGCAGGTACACAGGGTCTTATTTTCGTAGTGGACTGTGCGGATCGAGATCGAATAGACGAAGCCCGCACGGAACTGCATAGGATAATTAACGATAGAGAGATGCGGGACGCCATCATACTGATATTTGCTAACAAACAGGATCTTCCTGATGGTAATTATTATCGGACAAGTCCACAGGGATTCAAAATTCAACATTCACATCCCATCCTGTATTGTGTCTTTCAGCAATGAAACCCCATGAAATCCAGGAAAAACTAGGCTTAACTAGAATAAGAGATCGCAATTGGTATGTCCAACCATCATGTGCCACAACCGGCGATGGCCTATCTGAGGGCCTCACGTGGTTAACGTCTAACCATAAGTTATGAGAATCATAATCCAGATTTTGTATATGTATAATGGCATGTATTATTCGAAGCGAAGCAAAAGCAAAAATATTCTATTTTATTTATACAACAAAACAAAAGAAAAACATAACGCAAGCGCATAGTTAAAAGCCCAATAATGAACGTACATAAATTAAAGAAATGTTGAAGCTGGTACTCAGAAGTCAGATAGATATATATATATATATATAGTGATTATATATACATACTCTCAATTAACCACCCAATATTCTCACTAGTAAAATACACATACGAATAAACGAAGCATCAAAAAATAAAAAGGCAAATCATAAATATGCGTAAATTAAATGCGTAAAGTACAGAGACAAAAGCAGAACAACAGAAACTAGAGTTAAGTAAGTTTTTCTTGTAAATTATATTGAGACATGTAAGCAATAAGTTGAAAGCTGTTTATTGCAACTGTTACTATATGACTTGAACGAGGGGAACGAGTCTTAAATAAAAATTGTAAATAAATATTCAAATTAAAGCCCATACAAGCATCAAACAACAAATAAAACAAAACACCGATCAATTGAACAAACCCATAGATTTCTACGTTAATGGAAATATAAAAAAATAGTCACGGTGCCTTCCTCAATTGTCTAAGTGTGTCACTCCTCGATCCTTACCGTTTCCGTTCCGTTCCTCAATTACAGAACGATGTGCAGTATGGGAAATGTATCCTATTTTCTAGACTAACTTCCACGAGTCAACGGTTCAGTGTCAGATGCAGTGGGTTTGTATTGTTTATCCATTTGGAAATGCAAACATGCCATGTCCAAGTCCAGGCCCACAATTGCCAGCAAGGGGAGGAAAGCGTACTAGTATCTGAGCCTGAAGGGTCAAACAAGGCGTTCAATAATTGCTCTTTGTTTCCCATGACTACCTCTCAAAGTTGATGTATTTATTGAAATTTACCTGATATTACATTTATGTATGTGTATGTACACACGCCTTTTAAAAATCCTTTAAAGCCCTTTGGCTGCTTTGTGACTTTTTAATTGATAGCAGTGCATGTTTACTTGGAAATATTATACTTTTATTTGGTTAATAGATGACGATTAGAATTAAACCAAGCCTTGGTAGTCGGGTATTCCTACTCCTACTCAAACTCAAGTTTCATAATACAAGAAGAAGGGCATTTTGTGAATTTCTGAAACGAAATTAGAGATCTTTCTTTTTATTAATTGAGATGAGAAGTCGGTCAGCAAAATAATAGTTGGGTTAAATGAGAATAAAATCAATGCTTGCGCGGAAAAGTCTGTAGAAATTCCACTATCTTAAGTTCTTATAGTCTTCGACAGAAATGTTACTATTTTAGAAGAAAAATGTTTACTTAAAAAAATAAAATAAAAGTAAAAGATGCATTTCAGATACGCATTAAAGAAATAAATATTAGGGTCCAGATAGTCCATAGCTGAAGATCTAGCTGCAATGTTAATGATTTAACTTAAAATAATTAATATAATATTTAAATTTAATTTCCAAATATTCATTGCGTTTTTCAATTGAATTTTAATGGTTTATACGTAGCAACTGCGAAAAGAGTTTCCATCTATTATACACGGTACTCGACAAGTACAGGTGTATAAAAGCCAAACGAAAGCATATGTATGTGCTCGTATGTATGTGTATATATTCTTAATCAGAACCGGCTGACTGATTAGCCATCCGTTTGTACCTCTTCATTGACGCCTCGATTATCGAGATTATAGTGGAGGAGTAACCGGATTTTGTGTTTAGACTGGTGTGTTTCAAATATTTGCCACACCCCATTCCACCACTGCAAGCAGCTGAAAAGCTGGGATTAAGCCCAATTGAGAATGTTTGGGGGATTTCGGAAAAAAAGATACGGAAACAGAAAACTTCCCCGAATCGTTGGAAACGGCACTGGTAGTTCCTTGGTGACAAGTATGCCCTGACGCCTATTTAGATGTCAATAAGTTTAAATTCGGCGCATAAAAATGTTAGCTTTTATGAATTTTAAATATATTATTTTAATGCTATGTATAATTCTGTGTGAATTTCTAGTGGAATATCAAAGTGCATTTAGTTAGTTCTAATTTTGCGAAAATAAAGTATGAAAATGGATCTTGAATATTAAATACTAATTGAACTTAAACCTACGATAAGTTATAGATGATACAACTGGGATGATAAGGGTTAACCAGTCCTAGAAAAAAAGTTTTAAGGTCGGTATTACACTTCTTCGAGTGTAACCAGGCTAAGACCTTCGTCCTATTGTCCAAGTCGTAAAACCTCAAAGTCTCTCTAACGTATTGAACTATCTAAAAAAATCCTAGAAAATTGGCCCAATCTCGAGGACGACAATAATTTTAAACTTTTTTTATCGCGGAATTAGGCTTTTTTGTTAAACATTTTTAAGGTCAGATTGGAAATGTCCATATGTAGTGTATTTTTTAGTGTTAGTCCCGCCTTGTTTGTCACCTGCCATCACACCTGGACTTTTCATTGCTAAAAAGCGTAGATATAGATAAGAAATTTATATATTTACATAGCTATATAGATACTGAGTACCGGGTATCTTATTCTACAGAGAAGCTACTGACCTCTACATAAGTTTTAAATATCTGTATACTACAACACTTTGTGAAGACTTATCAAGTACTCTCTAACTTCACAGCCCCAATTCAAAGTGGACAAATTCAAAGAACTACTCCACGTGTGCTGTAATCTCCAGCACTACCATGTTCATGCTCTAATCTAGCGATTACAGAGGATTCCGAGAAAGTATTGCGACAGCAGACGGGAACCTGGGACTATGCTACTCCTGGTCCTGGGCGTACTTCTCATGATCTAGTATCAGCTCTGAGTCCGCACCTTCAATGACTCCATCCAGAAGCTCAAAATTTTCCTGTGAATAATTGAATTGCGAGTTTTGATTGATTAAATAAAGTGCACAGCCAGCCAGCCTGCACTGCTCGCCCTTGACTTGATGGAGACCGACCCAAGGCACGAATATGTACACATACATACATACGTATCTATATTTGTATGTCCATGCTCGCATGTGTATGTGTGTGTTGTGTATGTATCAAATGTCAAGAACCAACCCTCCGACTATGTCTCTCTCTTTCTGCTTTCTCCTTTCTCTCTTTCTCTCTTCTCTTGACTCTCTCTCTCGCTCGCACGCTCCTCCCTCCTGCAGTGTGGTGGGCGTGGCCATCGCGGCAAAGCGCTTTGACTTTTCAGAGTATAAACTTCTGCCAGCTGAACGTTGTATTCCGACATCTCATTTGTTACAAAGTTAATGTCGGCGCATTAAGCATACCAAAAGCTCCTCAGTGAAGTCGGGAGTTCAAAACTCTCCCTTCCAGATCCCCACAAACCCCCTCAAAAACTGGGGGCAGCCACCCAGTAGCAGCAACCTTTATTGATTATTGGATCAGTGGATTTTCGGACTTTTTTTTGTTTAGCCTTTTCGTTTCGAACCTTTGGGGTAATGCGAAATTCTATTCAGTACTTTGGATTTCGAGAGTTTCCTTTGTTCGTATGCATACATATATGATATCCGCACATATGTAAACTTAGATGTATGCACATTTATCTATCGGATAAATGCATATCGACGTACTAATACCCTTTATCTCGAACCGAATGGTTCGAATGGTATTCACTTCACTCAATACTTAGGAGGTAATTAGTTCCTCCTTTGTAACACACAGATACACACATATGTTCATAAGTTTAAACACCAATATGTGTGCAAATTCTCATACTTTTGGGTTCGTAGACAGCCACACATCCCGATCACAAGCAATAGCCATAAGAAGGAACAGTTTACCCTCAAATGCAATTACAGTTGAGTGGGAAGACCCTCGACAGTGGGGGCAACAGTGAGGGGGGAAAGTTCGGCGGGAAGGCGTCGTCCGCTGTGGCCCGTTGGAAGAGGGCAGAAGGCATGGCAAATCCAAAGGCACCAGCATCACCCAGGTATTATAAAACAAAAACAAAATGTCAAAGCCCAAGACGATTATACGAGCGCAAGCCGCGCAGCTGCGTCACACCAACAGTGTTGCCTGTCTAGTGGTTTTCCCACTAGATATATTGGCTACTGAATTTTTACAAAAATGTAGAGCATTCCATTGCAGATATCTATTGAGAATCGATCCCAAAGGATCCGAATAAATTTGTTCATTCGGTTTCTTCATTTGACCAAAAACTGTCTAGCTTTAAAGGAAGTTAACGGATCGCTTTGATCATGATTCGAAATATTTTTGAAGGGAATTAAGTTGTTGCACTAACTGACTAAATGACTATGCCTACACATGCAAAGTCGCCCTTCATTTGAGCACATATTCAAACAAACTCTGGGATCTATTTCGTTAGTTTTTAATTGTTTCTTAAGCCAAATCTAGTGAGCTTTAATGGACAAGGCCTGGCAGCACTGACTCTCACTGTAGGAGTGATTCTGCGAGTGCGAGGGTGACTGTGAGTGGGGCCTGCCATGGCTCCATTGCTCTCCTTCCTTCTTCCTCTAATCGCTTAGTCATGATGGCGGCGTTCTCTGTTTCAGTGTGAGCGTGCGTGCGTGTGTGTGTGTGTGTGCGCAGAGAGCGCAGAGCCGGGTGTTTATTGGAGATTGCGATTGTGGCTTGGCTTACATACAACAACAGAGCGTCGGATGCCACAGTATCAAGAAGGAACGAATCAAAGCAAGCCAGCAAGCCAGCAAGCAAATGCGCCACCAGAGTTGCCACTAAAAGTCTTCCTCCTCGGCCCTCGGAGTGGGCGACAGTTGGGGGTTGGGTTGCGGGTGCGGTTATCCTTGCCATTCTTGTTGCTTTTGCTGCTTGCTGCTACGCTCGCTGCTCGATGCTCGATGCTCGCTGCTCGATGCTCTCTGCTCTTAGCAGGGGTATGTATGGTATGGTCCTTGCTGGTGGTGGTGTGCTTTTTGTTCTCACTGCACTCACACTCACACACACAGAGAGACATTCATATGAACGAACGCCCGCCCTGTGCCCACTCACCGACCACGGATTATATCTACAGATTTTTTCCTATTTCGGGGTTGGCTGGATGGCTGGTTGGCTGCTTGACTGCTGGAGTGGACACATCACTGTTTAGCTCCTGTCATGGTTTTATGATAAATCTGAAATCGTACATCGAGA